TTTTCCCCCATAGTGAGCTATGTCTCCTGGGTTGGGGGCGGGGTGTGGGCTTGCCCCTGGAAGCCTGCCGGGTGGTCTCTCCATCTACATCACTCTCCAATTTGTGTTTGCTTTTTAAAATAAATTTCCTTTTGAAACCTCAGCCTTCTTTTCCATTTCTCTCAACTCCCTGCATTGAGAAAGCATGAAAAAAACCAAAACCCTTGTGACATGTACACACAATCGAGGACAACCAAATTTCTCATTGGCCACATCTAAAAAACAATCAGCAGTGGGCAGCAGGGTTCTTCACGAGTCCTTGGAAATTGAGATGGGTCATTGTGCTGATCAGAATTCAGCACAGCAGTATGCCCTCACATTTATGTATCATAACTGGTTCCTCCATTTCCCCAATTTATGGACACCCCCTCACATTCCCATTTTTGTCACCTCAAAAAGAGCAATAAATACTTTGTACATGTTGGGAATTTGTTTTAAGACTAATCCCTTCCTTCATCTCCTCTCTGATTCTCCATCCTCACTTCTTTCCTATTGAGTGAAATGTATCTCTGTACCCAGCTCTGTGTGCGTGCGTGTGTGTGTGTGTGTGTGTGTGGTGTGTGTGTGTGTGTGTGTGTGTGTCTTCTTTTCACCAGTTCAGGTGAGAGTGAGGTTCAGGTGTCAGCCACTCCCCCCACCCCCTTCTCCTGACTGGTAGGGCTCACACGCCTCATAGCTGACTCCCCACTTTGCTTCTTAAAAGGCCACAAGGGGCATGGTGAGAGCCTTCACCAAGCCAATGGCTACTTGCCTTCTTATAGAGGTGATGAAGGGAAATGTGTCATTTAAGACATTATCAGGGTGCTGGGCCTGGAATCAGGAAGACTCATCTTTCTGAGTACAAATGTGGCCTCAGATACTAACTAGCTGTGTGACCCTGGGCAAGTCACTTCACTCTGCCTCAGTTTCCTCATCTGTAAAATGAGCTGGAAAAGGAAATGGCAAACCGCTCCGGGGTCTCTGCCAAGAAAACCCCAAATGGGGTCACAGAGAGTCGGACACGACTGAACACCATGTTATTGGCCTTTTACATTCTGTGACTTCATCAATGGGGTGGGATGGGAAAGGGGAGAGGAAATCATCTGATCAGACATCCCTGCGATCAGCTCCTCCCTCCCCCCAACACATAGACAGTTAGGGTCCAAGTCAGCTTGCTAGGTGGAACATCGAACAGAGTGTGGAGCCTGCAGCCCAGGAGACAGAGTTCAAACCAAATCTGTCCTCAAACACTTACTAGCTGTGTGACCCTGGGCAAGTCACTTAACTTGTTTGCCTCAGTTTCCTCAACTGTAAAACAGGCATTATAATAGAACCTACCTGCCAGGTTGTTGTGAGGATCCAATAAGATCCTATTTGTGAAGTGCTTAGCAGATGTGTTCAATATTCACTTCCTTCCTTCTCTGTCCCATCCCTTTGCTCACCTCAGTCCTCACAGGCCTCCCTGACCCTGCCTTCATTTCACTCTGCATCGTTGCTATCCTTGTCCCCATCTCTGATCCCCTCTTACTGCCATCCTTCCCAGGATCCTCTCCCAGTTATTAGGAACACCAAGGCGAGCTGCCTTAGCCGAAAAAGCCAAACTGAGGGCCCACTAGGACAGAGCCTCGACTTCAGCCCCAGCAAGGGGGCCTCGGGGACAGTGGGTGGTGGTTAGGGGGCTTCCCAGACCTCTCCCCATTTGACCCATGTCTCAGGGGGTCTGTCAGCTGTCTCCTACATGTATTTTTTTTTTTGGCTAGGCAATGGGGTTAAGTGACTTGCCCAGGGTCACACAGCTAGTAAGTGTTATTTTGTGTCTGAGGCCACATTTGAACTCAGGTCCTCCTGAATCCAGGGCCGGTGCTCTATCCACTGCGCCACCTAGCTGCCCCCTGTCTCCTACATGTATCGACCCCAACCCACGACATGGTCTGTCAGGACCTGTCCCTTCAGAGAACATGTATTAAGCACCCGCTATGTGCCAGGCACTGTGCTAAGGGCTTGCTGGGAATGTAAAGACGACAAAAGACAAGAAGGAAGAGGGGAGGGTTGAGGTGGGAGGAAGATAAGGAATTCCGTTTTGGGTCATTGGAGAATGAATGAATGACTAGAGAACCCATTTAACAACCACTTCATTAAGCACCTGCTATGCGCGCTAAGTAGATGCTGGGAGTCCGAACAGACAAAAGTCAGCGGGTCCCTGCTCTCCAGGAGCTCACACCGGGAACAGGGGAGACAGCTCAGCGGCAGGGCAGAGGGAAAGGCCCAAAGGCGGGGAGGTCACCGAAGGCGTTCAGCCGGCCCCGCCAGGACGCTGAAGGGTGCGGAGCCAGGGCAGACAGTGAGGCTCGGCAGCCAACAGGGCATTCAAAGGAATGGCCTCAGAGGTTCCATCTCGTGCCAATCCTGTGAGCACCCCCAGGCGAGGAAGGGCAGGAGGTAGGGCAGCCCAGTGGTGGCGGCTCTCCCTGCCACCGGGCCATCCCTAGCTGAGCCCCCTGCTGGAGTCTGATACCCTCTTCCCTGTTCTGACCTCCCACGTCTTCTTCAGAGGCAGACGCCTGGGTGGCCTTCCCTACCCCAGGGCCTCAGGGCATGCCAACCCTTCCAGGTGCCCATAAAGGAAGCAGGTGCGGCTCTAGCGTACTTTCCTGCCAGGACGTGAACTTGGCTCCCAGATGACGATACCCCAACTTCTCTGGGCTCTGAAAAGGGGATGGGGCCATCTAACCCCCATCCCCATCTAACAGCCCATTTCCCTCTAGCTTTTTCCCCTCTTTAGTGCAGCTGGGTGGCTCAGTGGATGGAGCACCGGGCCCGGAGTCAGGAAGACCCGAGTTCAAACGTGACCTCAGAGACTTACTAGCTGTGTAACTCTGGGCAGGTCACTTACCTTCTGCCTGCCTCAGTTTCCTTAACTGTCAAATGGAGATCATAATAGCACCTACTTAGCAAGGTTGTTAGGAGGTACTTGTAAAGTGCTCAGCACAGTATCTGCTATATAGTAAGAACATACATGCTTATTCCCTCCTCTTTGCCTTCATCTCTCTATCAGTATCTGTCCCTGCATCACTTTTATCAGTGAGTCAGTCAATTACGAAGCATATCTATATTGTTGACTTTTATTACTGGGAGTCCCCCTGGGCCCAGGTCCCAGACTCTGCCCTACCTCCTACTCTTCCTCCCTTTAATCCCAAAGCCCCCTGCCTGCCCCCCATGAAGCCAGTTATGCAGGAAGGCACCCATTGAACAGCTTGTACAAATAGGTGTCCAGGCTCCCACTCGGGCCCGCCACATCCCCCCCCCCTCCCCTTCAGAGGCCCAACCCTGCTGCTCCCCAGACCCAGTTCAAATGAATTCGACAAACATTTATGAAGTACCTAGGATACGTTGGCCAGAACAGTGTACCAGGGTGTGGCCGAGAGGTGAGAGCTGGGTGAAAGGTGGACCCCAAAGCTGGAAAGCAGCTTGCAAAAGGGCTCAGCAGCTCTCACACCACAAATACTAGTCTTCCCTGAACACACCCCAACTGAATCGCTTCCATTTGAAATGTCTCAGGAAGATTCTGAAGATCACCTGGCAGGACAAGATACCAGACCCTGAGGGGGGGACACACAACAGCAAACATATTTACAAACAAGCCTCTATGCAGGATAAATAGGAAATAATTAACACTGGGAAGGCATTGGAATAAAGGCTTGGGGAAGGCTGCCTGTAGAACAGGGGATTAAAGCTGGAACTTTAAAGGAAGCAGGGAGGTCAGCAGTCAGTGGAGGGAGGGCGGTCCAAGCATGGAGGACAGCCAACATCACAGATCATCCTAAAGTCTGCAGCACCCTCTCTGGCACTATTACAGGCTCAGACCTCACAGGGCCTAGACTGAGGGACTGCCTCTGCTCAATAGCCTCATTCAGGGCCAGAGGGGAAGTGACTTCTTACATAGGATCTCCGTTTCTTTGCTCAGCCCCTTCCCCCTTAGCGACCCAGGGGGCTCTGCATCCCCAGCCCGAATCATCAAAGCTCCAATTAAGAGCCCTTAACTTTGATCGCCGAGGTTGACTTTTCCCCTCCGACTCCCCCCACCTCCTGGACTCCTCTTTGTTCCATAATTGGCCTACCGTGGCCTTTCTCCCCAATGCCTCGGTCCAGTTTCTGAATCCCAGGCAGAGTTATGTGCTAATTGGACTGGGGGCAGGGGAGGGAAATGCTACCCCCCCTTCTCTGCTCTATACAGCCCTGCCCCAGCCCTGGATCAGGAAGCCAATTCTCCAGAAGACAGGAAGGTACGGGCGGGAGTGGAGGACCCCAAGCTACTTCCTTCTCCTCTGCTGCCATATCTTTTCCCAGTCCCTCTCCATTCCATCCCCTTCTCTCCCAGTCCCTTTCTCTTTCCCTGAGGCCTATTTTCACTCCTCCCATCCTCTTCTCTCCCTTTTCCATCCCCTTCTTTCCCATCCTCTCCTCTCTCCCCATCCCCTTTTCTCCTCTATCCTCTCCCCTCATCCATTTCTCCCTCATCCTCTTCTTTCTCCCTCCCATCCCTTTCACTCATTCCTTTCTCTTTTCAACCCCCTTCTCTCTCTATCCCCTTCTTTCCCTCCATCCCCTCTCTTCCCCTGTCCCATTTTCACTCCTCCCACCCCCTTTTCTCCCAATCACCTTCTCTGTCTCCTCATCCCTTTCTCTCAGTCCCACTTTTTTCACCTCTCCTTTCTTTCTTTCTCCTCCTGCTCTATCAATAGCACCACAGAACATCAAAGTTAGAAGAGTTTACAACCTCAAAGACCATAAAAACCACCACCCCACCACTACCCATTTTCTGGAGGGAAAAGCTGAGGCCTAAGGAGGAGCAGGGGTGTGTCCAGGGTCAGACAATGCCTCCAGGGGTGGAGAGGGGCCTTGTCTTCTGCCTACCAGCTTGGGGTGTGTGTGTGTGTGTGTGTGTGTGTGTGTGTGTGTGTGTGTGTGTGTGAGAGAGAGAGAGAGAGTGTGTGCGTTGGGGGGGGCAGGAAGTCTGTTTCCCCACAAACTCACTTCCTCTTTCTTACCCAACATAGTTCCTGCAGGCAGGGAGATGCACCCTGGCACCCCAGCCACCTCAGGGCTCCCTGAACCTGCACCCCAGGAGCTGTGCGCCTTCGTGAGTGGGGTGGCTGCCCAAATCTTGAGGACCCTGCAGCCCCGGAAGGCTCGGCCCTCCCGGAGAAAACCCAACCACCGGAGATTCCTCTACAACCAGCTGTGCAGGTGAGAGCTGGACCAAGAGGCAGGAGTAACTGTGTGGTCCCAGGCCAGCGGAAAGAGAGACAAAAACAGAGATAGATCAGAGACACATCGAACCAGATAAACAGGAATATAGAGGGAAAAAACCGGCAGTGAGAAAGAGAGGGACAAATAAAGAGACTGATAAATGGAGAGACAGCGAGAGAAACAGAAACAGACAGGCCCAGGGGAGGATGTGATTGTGGAGGGACAGGGGAGAGAGGCAGGGAGACAGGATGAGGGAGGAGGGCGAGGAAGGAGGTGGAGGGAGGGATGGAGCGAGCAGGTCTGGTTCAGAGACAAACGTGGTGAGCCACCCCTCAACTCCCCAATCTACACAGGAGTTTTGCCGATATTGAGGAAGCCACCCAACACTTGGCCCTGACCGTCCTGTCCCAAGGGGGCCCAGGCCCCCAGCCCAAGCCCCGGCTCCAGCGGCCTCCCTCCCCCTTCCTCGGGGTGGCCCAGGCCCTGGCTGCTCCAGAGAGTGCTGGGCCAGGGCTGGCCCTGAGTCCCAGGGCTCTCCAGAACCCGACCCATGAGCTCTTTGAGATCATCCCTTTGAGTCCCAGGCTGCAAACCCCTGGCCCTTCCCTTCTTCCTCCAGTTACTGAAGACCCCTCCGTGCCCGCCCAGGTGCCCCCTGCCTCCTCCCTGTCTGTCCAGGCTCCCCACCTCCCCCCACTGACCTTCGGCCCCACGGACCTGTCCAGCAATACTATAGAGACCCAGTACCAGGAGCCGGGTCAGTGTCTTCCCTACGGAGCCATGGCCCTGGCCCCCTTGTCCCCCCGTGCCCTGGGGGTCTTGGAGGGGACCCTGGCTGCAGGGACGTGCTGGGCTGCTGAGACAGAGCCGTCCCGGCTCTGCGGGGGCCCGAGGCTGGGGACTCTCTGCCCGCTGGACGCCCCTCCTGGCTCCCTCTGTCCCTGAGCGTCCAGTTCAGTCCATCAAGGACCGGCCCGTCTCCTCCTCCAGCTAGCGCTCCCGGACCGGCTTCCTTCGTCCCGGTCAGTTTCTCCTTCATCCTTTCTCATCTCGGTCTCTATTCTTCACTGAGTCCTCTCTGGGGGTCCTCTCGGTCCCCTCCCCCTCCCCCGCAAGTCCAGCACGCCCCTAGCCCGGAGCCCAGGACTCATCAGGTGCTTAATAAATGCTAGCATCGAATCTGAGTTGTTTCTTTCCTCCAAGCGCCCACCCACCCCCTCCCCGCGCGCACGCGCAGATACGCTCCAGGCGCTAAGGAAGGGATGGGGGAAGGTGATGATTCCACTAGGAGACTAGTGACGTCACCACACCTCGAGCCTCCTCATTGGTCCATAGGGGCTTCCGACGCCCCAGCCCTGGCCTCTGCCTTCTACGTAAGCACTCGCGACCTTGGCTTTCACGCCCAGCCTGCACGCCAGGCTCCAAGAAACCCCTCCCTCCAAAAGATCTTTCTGCCTATGTCTAGGTAGGGGTCAAAGGTCAGAGGACCCGGCCTCTCTTTTTTTCTCGGACTTTTCTTCTTGACCCCACCTCTTCAAGGATTCAGGTTTCTGATTGGTGGAGCGGCGCCTACAGCTAGCCAATGGGAGTGCTAAGGGCGGGACCTGGAGCTCCTCTTCCTCTTACCTCTGAGCCCAGTGGGTCCTTGAGCACTGATTGGCGCCTCGGACCCCGCCCTCCCTCCGATTGGCGGCTCGGGCCCCGCCCACGCCCCGATTGGCCTCCTGCGCCAGGGGCGGGACGTCTTAAGGAAATAGCGAAGGTCGAGGAGGCAGTGAGTACTGGGGGTTCCTGACTTCCGGCCCCCGGGGGTTGGGGGAGCAAGCGCAGACCCGTTGGGGGCTAGGCTGGCCTACGGACGTGAGAGGAGCTCCGCTTCGAATCCCGGTCCCGGGGGTCGGGAGGCGGACCGGGGTCCCTTGCCCTTCCTCTCACGCGCCTCGGTTTCCCTTTCTACAAAGCGGGGTCCTGAACCCTCCGAGGCTGGACGGCCCCCAGCCCCCGGTCTCTCCTCCCCAGAGATGGCAACCGCCCGACTGGCCCTGGGCCGCGTGCTCCCCGGCTCTTCCATGCTCTTCCTATGCGACATGCAGGAGAAATTCCGAGGCACCATCTCCTTCTTCCCCCAGATCGTGGCCGTGTCAGCCCGCATGCTCCAGGTGCGGGGCGGCCCTGCCCTGTCCTGCCCCGGCCTCACTTCCCAGCTGCCACGGACCGCCCTCCAACTGTCTTGTCCCCACCTGACCCCCCCCCAGGTGTCTTGTCCACACCTGACCGCCTCAGGTGTCTTGTCCCCACCTGATCCCCCTCCAAACTGAGTTAACACCAAATCGGGGTTAAGTGACATGCCGAGGGTCACACAGCTAGTAAGTAGCATGTGTCTGAGGTCGGATTTGAACTCAGGTCCTCCTGACTCCAGGGCCGGTGCTCTATCCACTGGGCCACCCAGCTGCCCCTGTCTTGTCCATGCTTGACCCCGCCCCCCAGGTGTCTTGTCCACACCTACCCTCCTTCCAACTGTCTTGTCCTTACCTGACCCCCCCAGGTGCCATAAGCCCCACTTGTCCCCCCTACCCCCAGGTGGCCCGGATGCTGGACATCCCCAGTGATGCTGACGGAACAGTACCCCAAGGGCCTGGGTCCCACAGTCCCGGAGCTGGGGGCTCAGGATATCCAAGCAGTGCCCAAGACGTGCTTCAGCATGGTGGTGCCTGAAGTGGAGAGGCTGATGAAGGCCAGGCCCAGCCTGCGGTCGGTGCTGCTGTGTGGCATCGAGGCCCAAGCCTGTATTATGGTAGGGTTCCCCCCAGAGGCAGACCCACGCGGTCATCCTTAACGTCGACCCTGCCCCTTACCTCTGACCCTCCCCCCCAGAGCACAGCCCTGGACCTTCTGGAGAGAGGCCTCGATGTGCACTTGGTGGCTGACGCCTGCTCCTCCCGCAGGTCAGTGAGCAGGTGGGGAGGGGGGCCAGCAAGGCGGCTGAGACCTGGGGGCCATTGGGACCCGTGGAAGGTATCCCACGGGGACACTTGTGGAATGGAATGAATGAGGGAGTGGACTGCAGCACCCGGCTCCCCTGGGAGGAGCCACCCCTAAAGCCCTGGGGTCCTTGGCTTGAGGGGAGAGTCCATCGCGGCTTGCTGGAGCCCACTCGCAGACACCCCTCCCGTTGGACTGAACCATGTGGCAGTGAGAAGAGGGAAGGGGTTACGTCTTCTTTCTAAAGGCCATCCATTCCCTGGAGCTTTCCCTGCCTGACCCCCCTCCCTCTCACCCCCATGTAAGTAAGCTCTCCCTTTCCTAGTTACTTTGTTATCCTGATGGTAGGTCCAGGTAGGAAGAACAGAGCTCCCAGAGGACTCGGACTTTTGTCTTCCCCCTTTTTTCTGCATCCCAGGAGTCTAGATCGCCCAGCTGCCCCCCCCACCCGGGTGTCCTGATCCTCTAGGGTGCTTGCCTCCCTCAGGCCTAGCACTGTGCCTGGTACTCAGTTGGAGCTTAATCTGTGTTGGTGGAATTCTTAGAGATTAATCATGTAGCCACACTCCCTCACCCATTTCTCAGACCCAGAGGCTGAAGCCCAGGTCGCCCAGCCTAGTACCACTCGATCTCCAAGCACGATCCGCCCCCTTCCTCTTTCAGTCAGGTGGACCGGTTGCTGGCTTTGTCCAGGATGCGCCAGAGCGGGGTCTTCCTCACCACCAGCGAGTGCCTCATACTGCAGCTGGTGGGCGATTCTGCCCATCCGCGTTTCAAGGAGGTAGCCGAGATTTCCCCTGGGGCCCTCCTCCATTCCCTGGGCTTGCACCTCCCTTCTCTCCTCCTACCCCCCCCAGCCCCGGGGACTCCCCAGGTCCCTATCCCACCATCCTTCCCCTCCCCCATTCCTTGGGCTTGCTCCTCCCTCCCCCTAACCCTACGCTTGGCCCCTTGGGGTTATTCCTCCTTCCTTCCTCTCCCTCTCTTTGGCTCCCTCGTCTCTTCTCTACACTTCTCCCTCTTCCTTCCAGGTGCAGAAATTAATTAGGGATCCAGCCCCCGATAGCGGACTGCTTGGCTTGTTCCAGGGCCAGACCCCCCTCCTCAGCTGAACACCCCTAAACCCCCTTCACACACGCATCCAGTGAACAGCCAGCGTTGGGTCGGCCGCAACACAACCTCCCTACGGGAGCTCCTACTAGTTGAGCTTGGATCCCCTCTCCAGGGGGCGAAGGGCTCTGTCCTGGGAGGGGGAAAAGCTTCCCCCTTGAGATGGAACCACCTCCCTCCCCCCATCTCAGCAGAAAGCACCGGTTCCATTGGCCGACCACCTCCCTCTATGCAAATTGTGCCTTGAAAAAAGGGAGGAGATTGGCTAGGCCCTGGAGGGGGCGGACTGGGGGGAGGTGACCCTCCGAGCCTGGTTCGGGGAATAAAGCTTTCCTCCACATATGGACGAAACCATTCTTGATCACGAGAGGGGGGAGCGCGGGGGAGGAAGGGGCCATTGGGAACTGGCGGGGGGGGTCCTCAGAGACTTAGAGATGCTCAGAGACCAGAGACGCGTGGCGGCGATACCAAGACTCTTGGAGACAGGGAGGGGCAAGCAGGGGGCTGGCAGGGGCAGGACGGGGCGCGGAGAATAAGCCGGTCTGTCCCGAGATCCGGAAGCCCGACATCCGTAAAGCCAGGTGAGCTACACAGAAAGGGGAGGGGGGTGTTGCGCCCACAGCACGTCAGCTCCGGAGTCCAGGCGCCCGTCAGCCCCCTTTCCCACCGTCAACGCCCCCCTCCCCAGAGACCCAGGCATCCGAGCTCCTAACCTCCGCCCCCTCAGAGACCCAGGCATCCTTTCTCCGCAGTCGTGGTATCCTTCAGGAAGCGGGCAGTCCTGAGGCTCAGCGTCCTGCCTCGGGGAGCCAGGCATGCTGCGCTCCCAGCCGCTCCTTTCGGGAACCTCGGTTCTCCCTCTCCAAGTTCTTCCCTTTCTCAGGGCCCCAGCTTCCCTCTTAAGGACGCAGGTGTCGTGATCCCCAGGGCTTCTCCCTTCGAAGATCCAGGCATCCTGATAGCCAAGCCTCGTCCTCCTTCAGGGACCCAGGCAACCTTCTCTCTCCCCTCTGCCCCCACTCCCTCAGGAGTTATGCACTCAGCCCCCTTCCCCCTCCCGCAAGGACCCCGGAATCCTGTACCCCATACCTATGCAGGAGCCTGCCTCCCTCCCCTAGGCCCGCGCTCCCGTCACCATGGCAACAGGAGTCTATTCTGCGCCGGGAACAACCCGCTCCTGCCGCATACGTGGCCCTCCCCCCACATAACCCCCACCCCACCCCTGGAGCCCCCGGAAGGAAAGGGAAGGGGCGCTTTGACTCCTGGTGCCGACGTCGCCCCCACCCCCACGCAGAGACCACCGAGACAGGGAGGGATGTAGGAGATGACGGGCAGAGGCTCAGGTGACTGAAACAAAAGAAGGCAACAGAGACTGGGAGACACCCCGAATGAAGGGACCGTAGCAAAAGCGAGCCCCGCGCCGAAGGCACGCAGCCTGCGGGGAGCAGGGGGCCCGCCCTCTCGGAGCGTTGGGGCTCCCGGGCCTTGGGGTCGGCCTGCTAGCGACCTGAGGCCCCTCCCACTGCACCCATCATTTCTGTACCCCAGACCCCTTTGCCTCTGGTTGTCCAGAACCCCACTCCTTTCCTCTCCTGTGGCTCGTTCTCCACCCTCTGACATTCCAGCAGCCCTCCTTTTCCCCAACCCTAAATCCTCCCCCGTAGCCCCTGGAATCTGCACATAGAAAAAGGCACACACACACACACACACACACAAGTGCCCCGGCTCCCACCTACCCACCCACATGTAGACATACATACAGGGTTCTGCCCCCGCCTCCGTACACACACACACACACACACACACACACACACACACACACACACACAAAGAAACACAGGAACCAAGCACACACCAACACCACGTACTTGGACACTCAGGACTCTGGTCCATTTCCTTCATTCACACACACACACACACACACACACACACACACACACACACACGCTGAAGCTGTAGGCAAGTGGCAAAGCTGGGTAAGGAGAAGGGGTGGGTGGGTGACCGGAGCCTCAAACTAATCCCCTCTCTATCTGTGTCCCCTGCTCCCAGCTGGGGTGGGGGGGCGGGGGAGGACTGAATCTCCCTGCTTTGGAATAAGCCAGCATAGAGACGTAGAGACAAGGCACAGTTGAGGAGACTCAGAGATTAGAGACAGGTTGGACGTTGGAGCTGAAGAGGGTCCAGGGATTTAGACACAGAAAGATATTCAGATGGGAGACTGAGGTGCTGAGAGAGGGAACAACTGTGTTGGTGACAAAGTGGCTGTGTGGCTGACTCTGCCTCTCCCTCCATCTCTTTCTCTCCCTCCATTGCCTTATCTCTCTCTCCATCTCTGTCTTTGTTTTTTTCCCTATTTCTGTCCGTGTCTCCAGACATCTCTTTCTCTCTGTCTTCCCTTCTTTGTCTCTACACGTCCTCCCATCTCACCTGCTTCTCAGTTTTTGTCTGGGTCACTCCAGTGGGCAGGGAGGGCTGTGGATGGGGATGTGCCTGGCTCTCCTGTCTCAGGCTAGTGATGGAGCATGGGGGTGGGGGGGAAGATGTATCTCTCCCACTCTCTATAGCTCCCTCCCCCAACTAAAAAGGCATCAGAAGCTAAGGGGGAGTAGAAGGGAGAGAGGTTTTGTCTGCCAGACAGGGTGCCTTTGGAGGGAGAAAAGGGGATTTTATGGGTGCGTATCTGCAGATGTTCCGTCACAATCCCATTTCTGAGAGGGCAGAGGTCTGAGTCAGGGCACCTCAGGATCTGTCCATGGCGCCTAGAGCTGTGCCTAGATGTTTCTGGTTTTATGTGCCCACACCTGGTATTTGGGAATGTCTGTAGTCTGGAGCCTGGGGGGATGGGTTTCGAATTGTGCACCTGTGTATGAATGCAGTTGTGTCTGTCACTGCATGTGAGGTTGTGTGTGTGTGTGTGTGTGTGTGTGTGTGTGTGTGTGTGTGTGTTTCCAGTGGGAACTGAGAGTTCCTGTGGAAGGGAAATGCTGTGTCCACAAGTTGTGTCTAGCCTGCAGCTGGGGGCCCCCTGTGCCATGAGGCCTGTTGGATGTCTGTTGGAGGGGAGGCTGCAGGGCCCCAGCCATGGATGGAGAAGTTGTGCGTGCATGGGTGTTGTGACCGTGTTGCTGAGGGACAGCGTGTATCTGCGGGTCACTAGGTTGTGCCTCTGTCATGTGGCAGCATATGTTGTATATCTCCAGGGAAGTGGGGTTGGTACCTTGGTGGGCGGCTACCATGGAAACCGGTGGAGTTAGACTGGGAAGAAAGCCCTGAGTCCACTGTCCAGGGGCGCCCAGCTCCTAGTGGCTGGCCCAGTCCCTCTGGGCCACTCAGAACACCTACGGGGGTGGCTCTCTCACTGTTCCAGCTCTTATTCCCTGAACGTGCCCTTCCTGTCTGCCCCTGAGTGTCTCTCCAGCGGTCTCAGCCGTCGCTCACTTTCTAAGCATCTCAGACTGCCGTTGTCTTTGTTTCTCATCTTCTAAGCCTACTTTTCCCTTTGCTGTCTCTGTCTCTGCTATCTCTCTCACACAATGTGTATTCATCTCTCTGTCTCATTCCTTGGGGAGACCTTGAGTCCTTCCTTTTGGGGCAGGTGGGAGAGGAGATTACACCCTCATTTGTCCTCTCTCCATTTCTTCCTCGGCCTCCCTGTGTCCTGCCTGTGCCCCCATCTCTGTTGTTTCCATCTTCCATTCCCCATTCCCTGTCTGGCTGACCATCTGGCCAGACGGACATCGCTCTTCCTGGCCTCTGCTCTCTCCTCTTCCCCAAGGGTGCCTTCTCTCTGCCTGGCTCTCCCTGGGAACCATCTAGCAGCTCTCCAGCCTTCTCTCCTCTGCCCATGGCCCCTCGCCATCTGTCTCTCTCAGCCCATTACCCCCCTTCTCTCTGGCCCTCTCGTCTATGCCTCATCTTTTTCCTCTTCTCTTCCCAGTGCCAAGCCTTGCTGCAGCCATGCCTCCTGCCCTGTTCCTGTGTCCCCTCTTCCTGGCCTCTGCCCTCGGCCCAACCCTGGCTGTGGCCCACCTGCCCAACAGCACCAGCTTGGCAGCCACAGGCCCCCTCCCAGCCCTGTTGGCCCACCTGCGCCGGCTGACAGGGGCCATGACAGGGAGCGGCGGTGGCGGGCTGACCAATGGGACCTCGGGGGGCAGTAGTGGAGGGCAGGCAGCTCGGGCCCCCCTGCCTGCAGAGCTGTGCCACGGCTACTATGATGTCATGGGCCAGTACGATGCCACCTTCAACTGCAGCACTGGCTCCTTCCGCTTCTGCTGCGGCACATGCTATTACCGCTTCTGCTGTGAGCACCGCCACATGCGCCTGGCCCAGGCCTCCTGCTCCAATTACGACACCCCAGTCTGGGCCTACACACCCCAGCCCTCCGACGCCGGTGGGCCCGGGGTGGGCGGGGACGGCGGGGGGCTCGGGCCAGGCCAGCCAGGCTGGCTGGATGGGAAGCGGGCAGGGTCTGGAGCCGGCGGGGCTGGAGGCAGGGGCGGCGAGGGGCCCGGCGGCAGTACCGCCTACGTGGTGTGCGGAGTCATCAGCTTCGCCTTGGCCGTGGGTGTAGGTGCCAAGGTGGCCTTCAGCAAAGCATCCCGGGCCCCCCGGGCTCACCGGGAGATCAACGTGCCCAGGTACCCCAGCTGGGGCTGGGGGGTGGATGCTGGGGGTGCAGAGGAGGGGCCCACAGGACCTGGGGGGCACAGCTGTTTACCCCCTTCTACATGCATGCAGGATAGCCAGGGAGAGGGGGATAGAGATTTGGGGGGTGGGCGCTGCTACAGGTTCGCATGCCCTAGGTCTGTTCCACAGCATGTTAACCCAGGAGGGAACCCTAGGGTAACATGCTGGCTAAGGGGGTGGGAATTGCCCTGGGGATCAGTGCGTGGACGTAGGGCCTCTGGGGATATGTGGTGCTGGTGGGTACAGTGGGGCCAGGTTGTCTGGGGCACTCCGTGTGACAAGTGTGCTCAGGCGTAGAGCCGCAGGCCTGGGGGTGTGTACATGTGGGCTTCCCTGTCCACTGGAGACCAGGCAGCTGAGGAGACTGTGACCCTTAGGAGGGCTTTCTGGCTTCACCCAGAACCTGCCCCAGCTCTAGTCACTGATCACCCTAGGGCCTCAGGTAAAACCCCAGAAGACAAGGGGCAAGAAAGAGAAGCCTAGTACGCCCAGGATGGTACCATGTGAGGAGGGCCCTGTGACCCAGCCAGTGGGCCAGGTGCTGGAGCCAGGCTGGGGAGGAAGACGCAGGTCGCAGGTCCTGCGGAAGAGAAGAGAGGCCTCAGGACTGGGAGGGCAGAGGCTGGGTCCCCTGAGGCAGGGGAGAGGAGGGTCCAGGTGAGTATTTGGGGTCCAGTGCCTCTGACTCCTCTCCACCCCCTGCATCCAGGGCCCTGGTGGATATCCTGAGGCACCAGGCAGGGCCAACCACCCGTCCTGACCGGGCACGGAGCAGTTCTTTGACCCCAGGCCTGGGAGGACCTGACAGCATTCCTCCCCGGCCCCCCAAAAACCTCTATAATCCCGTCAAAGTCTCCAACCACGGTGAGCCTCGGGCTGTGGGGGTGGGGAGGGCATCCTCGGTCAGTCCCCCTCCATCCCTTTGTCCCCCCTCGAAGTCCTGGTCTTCCCACAATTCCAAGCGCCTGACTTCTCTCTCTGCCTCTCCCCCCATCACCTTCCCCCACATCCCTCCAGGCTTCCATGCGGCTCCTCCCTCTCTTCCGCCTCCTCACTCGTTCTTGAGGCCCTTCCCCTTCCTCCCTTCCGCCCCTCATCCCAGCCTGAACCCTCTATCTTCCCCCTCCCCCTCTGTTTCTTCTCTCCATCCCCTTCTTCTCTCTTTCCCTCAGACCCTTCCTCTTTGCCACATACCTAATATGCCCAGGGCCCATGGAGTGCTGGGACTCAGAAGCCCTGAGCCCAAGGCCTGGCTGGGCCTTAGTTTCCCCTTCTGTACAATGGGGCAGTTGCTGTTGCCTCTACCTTTATGGGGGATTGGCTACAGAGGGACAGGCTTGAATGCCAAGGCCATGAGCCCTAGGTGGGACAAGGGAGACCCTTGGCGCTTTTGGGGGGCTCTCCAAAGAGGGGGTGAGAGCGACGTTCACGGGCAAATCCTTATCCTCCTCCTTCCTCCTCACAGATACCCTGCATCATAATTATATCCATCTCAACGTCAACAGTCCCAAACACCATGCTGCCACGCTTGGTATGGAGGGGCACCTGGGAGGGGCAGGGGAAGTGGGGGTGGGGGAGAATGCCTGGGGAGGGAGGGAGCTGGATTGGGGGGAGCCTCCCCACGGGGCACTGCCTCCAACCTGCCTCCTTCTGCCATTTCTCCCTTTCATCCCAGACTGGCGAGCCCCGCCTCCCCCCAGCCCAGTCCTCCATTACTCTACCCTCTCCTGCTCCCGATCCTTCCACAACCTCTCCCACCTGCCCCCCTCCTACGAGGCCGCAGTCAAGTCCGAGCTCAGCCGATACTCTTCCCTCAAGAGGCTTGGTGAGGCCAGGGTAATGGGGAGACGGTGGGGGAGGCTGCCCCAGGATCAAGTGGGTAGGGTGGGAGCAGCTGCCAGGGAGGACCCATGCCTGCTGCCTCCTTGGCTGGCTGGCACAGGGCAGGACCGCTTCCCTCTCTATAAAGTCGGGGGTGGGGCTGGATGCTCTCCAAGGTGGGAGACAGTCTGGTAGGTCTGTCTTGTGAGTCAATGAGGTTCTAATTTGGCCTCTGCCCATCCGAACCCTGGACCTGGCTCCCCTAGGACTGCCTAAGCTCGAGGTCTGCTCCCTATCTGAGTCTAGGTCAGGAGCCCGGGGGGCTGGGGAAGGGCTGGGGAGCTAAGAGTTCTCGTGCCTTACGTATGCTTAGCCGAGAAGGACCTGGATGAGGCGTACATGAAGAGGAGGCACCTGGCGGAGCTCCCCCGTGGGACGCTGCCCCTCCACACCATGCGCCGGCCCGGCACCGGGGGCGGCTGCTACGGCGGGGCTGGCGAAGGCTGGGGCAGCCCTGAGGAGCAGGCGCCGATGCCCAACCCCCGGCGGGTCATGTCTCAGGAACATCTGCTGTCGGACAGCGGCCGGGGCTCCCATTGTGAGTTCACCCTGCCCCGGGCCCGCCTGGTCTCCCAGGAGCGCCTTTTGCTCTCCTCTCCCGAGGCCCTACAGAGCCAGGAGCGGCTCCTGTCCCCGCCCCGGAGCCCCGCGCCGCCCCCAGACGCACCCCGAGGGGGTCTGGCCGCCTCCCACACCAACCTGCTTCTGGGGCCTGGCCCCCCAACTCCCCTCCATGGCCTGCCCCCTCCCCTTCACACTCACCACGCCCACCACCTGCGCCACAGCCTGTCCCCTGCGGCCTGGGGGGGCATGGGGGCCGAGGCAGGGGGCGGTGGGGGCACGTTGGCCCGACGCCCACCCTTCCAGCATCAGGGAGGCCTGGAGACCCTCCAGTTCATCCCTGGCCACCACCATCCACAACACCTGCGCACAGCGAGCAAGAATGAGGTGACAGTCTGAGGGCTCCGCGCCCGCCCACACGAGGTTCTGGCCGATGGGGGCCTCAGGGGCATCGCCCCTGCCCCCTTCTGGGATGTGATCTCCAGAGGCTCTGGTCCTTCCGGTGACATCACCTCCAGACGCTGCCCCCCCTTCCTATGTCCTGAGCTCCAGAGACTCTTCCTTCCAGTGACAGCATCTCTGGGGGCTCTGGTCCTTGGAGGGATGACATCCCTAGTGGATCTCCTTCTTCTGACGGCACTGCCAAAGTCTTCACTCCTTCCTGTGACATCATCCCTGGAGGCCTCACCCCTTCCTGTGACATCACCCCCAGAGGATGCCCCTTTTCCTAGGAGGTCATGTCCAGAGTCCGCACTCCTCATCCTGCAGCCCCACCTCCAAAGGGTCTACCATTTTTATGACATCGACTCTAGAGGCTCCCTCCATCCTTTCCTGAGAAGTCATTCCTAGAGACATCACCCCTTCTCATCACCTCATCTCCAGAGACAGTGCTCATTCACATGACCTCATCTGCCACAGGCTCCATCCCTTCCTGGGACATGGTTCTGACCCTTTGGTGAATGTCCAGGGAGGGCCAGGGGTCAGCTGGAGATGGTCCCAGACACATTGTGGGACACCATCTCTCCTTGAGTATCCCTGCATTCCAGATGCATTCCTGCCAAGGTTCAACCCTCTCTTTTTCCTACAGTGTCATTTTTCCAAAGGCCCCACACCTCTTCTTGGAGACAGGCTCCTAGCCTCTGACTCTTCCTGGGATACTGGCCTTGAAGGCTCCCCAATTCCCCCCATGTGGAATCCACAATCATAGGCTCCAGCTCTCAATGCATGGAGCCTTCTGGCCTTTCTCCCTTTACTGTCAATGAAGCTCTTCTGCCTTTCTAGCACCAGTCCAGTCCTCTCCAGGACCACTTCCTCCCTTGACCTTAGGGGAACTCCACTCCCACAAAGGAACCGGAGAATGACAGCTGGAATACACCCCAATGGCCAGCCATGTTGTCCAGCCCTTACCTCGGCGTCCTGTCCAGTGAGTGGTCTTGCAGCCTCTGCTTGAAGACCCCAAGGGAGGGTGACCTGGCCATCTCTTGTGGCAGCCCATTCCATTGGGGGTAGTTCTTGTCAGCCTGTATCTGCTTCTGCAAGTTTCCCCGCATCACCCCTAGTTCTGGCCTCTGTGGGCAAATAGAAGAAATCTAGTTCATTCTCTACATGACAGACCTTGAAATACTTGAAGACAGCTCTCATATTCCCCCCCAAATCTCCAGGTGAAACACACCCCATTGCTTGACTGGTCCTCCCTAGACATGGACTCCAAGCCCTTCTCCATCCTTGATGTCCTCCTCTGGACACTCTCCAGCTGATCAACGTCCTTCTTGAACTGCGCTTTCCAGAGCTCAGCCCAGTGTTCCAGGGGTACTCTGACCAGGACAGAGTGCAGGAGAACTCTCACCTCCCTGGTGCCTGGCGACCCTGCCTCCCTCTGCTGTTCCAAGTGTCCTCCTCCCAGGCTGCGTTACTTAATATACCATAGCCTGAAGGACTCATCTTCCTCCAGCCCTGGAGTTTGCCTCGACGTTCTGGGTCCCAGCAATGTCCTAGAGGAAACAATGACATCTTTCTGCACCTCAGGCCCCCCAATTTGAATAGGCATCTGCTGCCAATGTTGTCACAGCTTCCCTCTGGGGCATGACATCACTGCCTCCTTCCAGTGGGTCTCCAATGATGATGTCACTGCCTCCTCTGAACGAGGCTTTCCATGAATAGTGTCACCCCTGCTGTCTAGACAGTTGTCTAGATGATGTCGTCACCTCCTTCCAGGGCAGCCCCCAAAGATGTCATGGCTGCCACATCCTCTGGGACCCCTCCCCCCATCATAACAGATGTCACTGCTTCCTGGCCTGGCCCACAGTGAGGACATCAACTCCTGGCAGGTGGAGGCAGCTTATCGCTGCCTGGAGGAGTCACTTCCTCTTGGAGTGTCCTTTGATGACATAATTCTCCCCCTCCGTGGGCTGCTGCCCACTTACTCGCCATTCCTAGTCAGGGCTTCCTGCCCACTGCCAGTGATGTCCCTGGGCCCCCCTTCAAAGACTTCATCCCTGGAGGGCTTTGGGAATGGGCCCCTTCTTCATGGTATCACTGCCTCTTTGTCCTCACTACTGTGACCTCTGACCCCTCTGGCTGCCTTGACCTCAGACAATCCCATCTCAGACTTGGGGTTGTCCTTGGGGATGAGGGGTGGGCAGAGTGAAGCCTGGACGAGGACAGCAGGGGATGGGGCGAGACTATTCCGAAGGCATCTCCCCTTTCCTCTTCCCCAGGGAGCCTTTCTGGTGTTTGGGGGGGTTCCCCCCATTCCCAATGCACAACTCATCTTCCCCCCTTGTACATAGCCATGATTTGGGGGTGCCTATACCCCAACACTAAAGGGCTAAAAAAACTCTCCCCCAGCCCCCCAGGGCAAGGTGGGGGGGGCTCTCCTCCTCAGTCTGTCCCCTATCCTTCCCAGTCAAATGCCTGCACTTCTGCCCTCAGCTCCAGCTGCACCTTGATGGTGAAACAAGCCCTTGACAGGGCAGGGAAAGGAGTTGAGTGAGACTCCCCAGATGCCTCATGGCAGGACTCCTTTTTCTAAGGGCCCCCTGGCCCCCAGTGTTCTGCTGAGGCCTCACTCCCTTCATACAATAGGGCCTTCCTTGCCCTTCTCCAATTCAGGGCTCCCCACAGCCTCCAGAAGAGATCTGGGGGAGTCTCCTACCCGCATTCTGATCCTTCCCCCTTGTTTACCCTTCAAGGACCCAGGTGTGGTATTGCCCCACCTGCCTGGGCTGCTCATTCCCCCTAGATGTCTGATTATAAGCCATAATGGGAAAAGGACCAGGGTCAGCGTGGGGGGATTTGGAGGGGAGATAGAACAAACCCAGGACATCCAGTCTCTCCTGCTCACCACAATTGCTTCTAACCTTTTGTGTCCTGGAATTGCCAGAGGGTGGAGGAGAAACAGCTCTGTGGGAGAGGACACTCCAAGCCTCACATCTCCCTCTCGCTGCTCTCTGCCTGAGTGAAGCCAGAGTCATTGTATCTTTGGGATTTTTTGAATAAACAGATGTTTTCCTGCTCTCTGTTTCAGGGGACTCTGTTTTCATGGAGGCAGTGGGGAAATTTGCAAGTCCCTGCTCTAGCAGGTCGAGGGCCAATCACTTCTCCTCTGCCCAGGTCTCATTTGCCCCATCTGGAAAGTGAGCGGCTTGGACCACATGATCTCTGGGTCCTTTGGAAATCTTCTCATCCTAAAGTACCATAAATCCCATCCAGTCCTGAAGTGACCAGTCCTTCTGATGGAGCTGGGATTCCTTGGGGACCCCTAGAGGGCCAAGGGGTGCATGAGATGTCCAGATCACTAGGGATCTAGCCTCACTTAACCGCATGGTTACGTAGGATATTCTCCTGGCACATTTTAAGCAAGTGCTTAAAGATGACCAGGGATATCCTAAGGCACATTTAATCCCATTTGCCGGTTCTTCTAAAGATCCCATAAGTTACAGATCGCCAGGGAGCTCCCCTCCACCCACCCACCATGTTTGTTTGTAGTATGTCTGAGGTTGCTGTTACTGATCCCCAGAACACACCCGTGGTGAATTTATCTTTGTTTATGAACAAGCAGGAAGCCTCCTGAGAGCTTTCAGTATTAACCAGCTCAGGAAGGCTTGCCCCTTCTTGTGTTTATAGGGTGTGCCTTCAGTTCAGATAAAGCGTGTCTACAGAGTTGACCAATTACTGACTGGCCAGAGAAAGGGAGGGACAGAGGAAGAGGCAGGAGCTGCAGCCCATTTCAGGAGCCCCCAGCTGTGGGGAAAGCCAAGTGCCCCCCACTCTTTTCTGTTCCATACTGTCTCACTATCCCAGGAGCTCCCAGATCATCATTATGCAAATAGCTATATATTTCTTTCTTTTTTTTTTTTTTGGCTAGGCAATGGGATTAAGTGACTCGCCCAGGGTCACACAGCTAGTAAGTGTTATGTGTCTGAGGCTGGATTTGAACTCAGGTACTCCTGAATTCAGGGCCGGTGCTCTATCCACTGTGCCACCTAGCTGCCTCTAGCTATATATTTCTGAGGGCAGCTAGGTGGTGCTCTCTGTGGGCCCTGGAAAGAACTGTGGGCCTGGAATCAGGAAGACTCATCTTCCTGAGTTCCACGCTGGCCTCAAGATGCTTACCAGCTGTGTGACTCTGGGCAAGTCACTTAACTCTGCCTGCTTCAGTTCCTTCCTCTGTAAAATAAGCTAGAGGAGGAAATGGCAAATCACCGCAGTATCTTCGCCAAGAAAACCCCAAATGGGGTCACAAGGAATCGGACGTAATTCAACAACAGCGACAGCATTCTTTATTTCTGGCCCCATCCTCTCTGGAGATCCAGCTCTGCATCCCCATCACCAAATACCCATTGAATATGTTCCCTGCCTTCAGGGAATTCACAGTCTGGGAGGCAGGATGAGAAACAAACACAGATAATTGTCATGCTAGGGAGAGTGAGGCAAAGGCAAATAACAACTCAGACAGCATATGTTGACTAACACTGAACAAACGGCCGAGGCAAGTGGATCTGTTTGCAGAAACAGAGGGGCTGTGATACAGGGAGATTGTCTTTCTGGAGCCTGGGCTTCATCGGGTTGTTGGGTGCGTCCTTCTTCTCAAAGAGGACCAGTACATCAGGGAGGTGATGCCTTGACTTGCGAGTGAGTTGGATTTCAGTGAGGGAGGGCTGTGCAAAGTCACCAGCCCCATTCTCTCCTCCAGAGCCACCTGGGTCCAGTGGCCAGATACGGATCGGGACGACTGATGGTGGCCCCCTTATCAGAGCACGTTATGTGAGGAAGGAAGGGCTGAAAACCGGGCACCTCATCCCTGCAGGTTGTGAAAATGTCATCCCCGCTGAACGCCTGGGAGGACACGCTCACGTGGCCGGAATTGAGGCACTAGCTGCTGATTCTCTTCCCCAAACAAAGCAACAACGAATGCCTCCCTGGACTACAGAATATCCCTAAGAACGCAGAGGCTGTCCTGAAAGTGGAGCATCACTGCGGCAATCCCCCAGACGTGCACTGCCCCGTCAGAACTCAGGAACAATGCGGGCGCCGTGCTGAATTCTCATACCCCACTGCAATTACAAGTTAGGTCTGCTGCTTGCCAAAGGGTCGATCGAGTTACCCTTTGAGTCTGTACTCTTTAGACTCTCGATGATGAGCCCACACCAGTGGGGTCCGCTTTTAGTAGTTAGCCAGAGAGCATAACATAGCTAGCATTTACTGAGCATTTTCAGGGTGACTAAGTGTTTCATACAGATTACCTGACTTGTCCCCCACAATTCTGTGACATATGTCCTAGCGTTTCCATCTCACGGATGAGGAAACTGAAGCTTTGAGAGATTAAATGACCCGACCAGGGTAACACACCTAGTATGTATCCGAGGCAGGGTGATGGTGATTATGATGGAGAACATGTATGTAGCATGTATTAAGTGCCAGATATTACGCTAAGTGCTGCATAAATATTATTTCGTTTGCTCCTCACAACTACCCTGCGAGGTGCATAGAATTATCCCCCTTTCACAGCTGAGGGAACAGAGGCAAATAGAGGCTAAGTGACTTGCCCAGGTCACACAGCAGGTAAATGTCCCAGGCCAGATTTGAACTCAGGTCTTCCTGGGTCCAGCTTTCAATTTACTACACCACCCTTAAAAGTCTTAAGAAACAATTAGCTCTGGGGAAGTGAATGTTGAAAACTAAAAATTAATTAATTGATTTTTTAAGAAGAAAGAATTAGCTCAAAGGAAAGGTATTTACTCAAGTGGCACATCTAGAAACTTGGGATGTGCCCTCCCATAAACACAACCAGCCTCCATGGGGAGAACGGACACAGATCACGAGCAGAACAATGCGTGCAGGGAGCACATGGCCAGGGCCGGGTGGCCCAGGCAATGCTAGGAGGAAGAGGGAAGGAAGGAATGAAACATTTATTAAATGCTCACCATATTCCTGGCACGGTGGGAAGTGCTGGGCTGGAGGTACAGATAGAAGCAAAAGGAAGATAATGCCTGCCCTCATGGAGCAGATGATGCCCAAGAGGGGAATGAAAGCTCCATGGCCTGGCCCCTCCAGAAAGGGAGGCCCTATTCACCAGTGGAAGACGGAGGCCTGCCTAGCAGAGGCCTAGCCCGGGGTAGGAAGGCCACCAGAGTGGCCGGGTGCTCCCCCATGAGGAGGCCCTAAGTTAACATTGGAATAGAAATATGGTGGGGAAGTCCAGAGCCAAGCCAAGAGCATGGGCGCCTACCGGCTCATGGACAGTTAGGAGTGACCACCAAGACCTTTCAAAGCTCACAAAGGGATGGCCATCATCAGTATTCCTTTACCTCCAAGCAGGAAAGAACTAAGTCAAGCAACAACAATCAGAGAGCCCCTAATGGAGATCTGAGGCCTGTCCACACCCAGAGGCTTACGGTGAACCTTCCTCGCTCAAGCACTGCCAATGGAAAAAAAGGGAAGCATTGCACTATGGCTGATCAGCGACCCTTCAGAGCATGCTCAGCCCCAGATCAGCAGCTTTAGCCCAGACCTAGCCCAATCACAAAATGTCTCAGTATGTTCCCAAGGCCACGCAGGAATTCTATCCGTTGTGTTATGCGCTGGATGCACGCTGCTCACAACGAGAGGGGTCGTTGGCCAGTCTCCCCTACAGTAATAATGATAACTGTGAGAGCGCTTCAAAGTTTGGAGATCTCACAGGAGAGACTCACAATAAACCCGTGGGGTAGGTATTGAAGCTACCATTATCTCTATTTCACAGAAGAGGAAACTCAGAGTGTGCTCATGGTCACATCCCTAGCTGGCCAGTGCCAGAGGAAAGACTGACTCCCCGGTTTGCAGTTTATCAGCTGCTAGCATGCTGCACCACCTGGCCCAAGCCAGGCGGCCCCTGACTTCTACAGAGGGATGCAGTACATGGGCAGAGTCCACTGCAAGCAGGGAGGATGATGGGAGCAAAGTCAAGGTGACAGGGAGGGCAGTTAGGAGAACTGGGAGTCCTTCATTCCAGCTGGTAGGCAGACTGAATGAAGAGGAGGAACAGGAGACACAGAGCATACATATGGCCTGGCTGGACTGGTCAACATTGATAGGGCTGAAGAGCAGACTTTGACCCCTGGGCAGGGGCCAGAGGATACTGCTCATCTCTGCCATACTTCCCAGGGAACGCCTTGGATCTGGAAACGGCAGCAGCCAAAGGCAATGGTAGAACATCCAAAATCCCGGGGCCCTTGCCTTCTGGAGAAAGAGCAGAAGGAGGGAGCCACCCCAAGTCAGTGGCTAGCAGAAGCCAGAGCTGAAGAACAGGAAGGAAGAGAGCCATGAGGTAGAGGAGAGGGCCCAGCCCTGGCCTTCTGCCCTTAGTGTTTGGAATTAGAAAGGGCTCATTCCCTAAGTACCTTCTCCCCCACCCCAAAAAGAGGGTTAAATGAGATATTTGTAAGGAGCTTAGCACAGTGCCTTGCACATAGTAGGCCTTTTAGAAATGCTTACTTTCTTCTCTTTCCATCTGAAAGACACATTAGAAGAAGCAGAGCCATGGTGATGGAAAGAAGGAAGAAAAACAGATCCACATGAGACATACATGTGTGTGAACAGATAGATATGTACATATATATGAGTATGTATATGTGTGTGTGTGTGTCTCAATATAAAGGAAAAACTTACTACGAGTTTAAGCCCAGAATAGGCTGATGCATAAATCAGTGGAGTCCCTCCTCACTGGAGGTCTTAAAGTGAAGGAGGGAGCACTTGTTGGGAATGGCCTGGAGGGAATTCTGCTCAGGTGCTCACTCTGAGATCCTTTTCAACGTGCTGAGCTTCACGCCTTGGTGGTCCCTGATTGGCTGGAGGGGCTCAGGGGGTATGAGTGCCAGAGAGAACAGACTCCCTCATCCCACTGAGAGGATGGTAATGCCAATCATAGTCATAATTGATATTTACAGGAAGCACTGAAAACTCAAAGTGCTATTAAAATGTCTATTATTATTATTATTATTATCTGGCAGTTGAAGGCCAAACGAAACATTTTCCCCTGAACAGTTTGTTTTGGGGTGGTGTTGACAAGCTGATGGGATGGCCCACAGTCAGAAGTATCCCAAGGAGGGTGATGATGACGACGCTTAGCTGGAGAAGTCCCTATGACTCCGTTGTGGCCCTGCTGATACCCAGCCCAGGGCTATGAGGACAACTACACCAGGCCTATCAGAGAGACCACTTGTGGGTAACAGGTTCTCACGCCATCGGAGCCTAGAGGAGGCTGAACCCTTATTAGGATCATTTTACAGAGGACGAGACTGAGGCCCGCCTAGCAGAGGAGGGAGGAGGGATGTGCCAAGGTCACATCAGTCCTTAGAAATCACTGTGCCATCTTCTGGATGACAATGGAGCCCTGCTAAGCTACTGTAACTGGCACACAGGTCTTCCCAAGCCAGGGCGGTCTGCAGAGGAAGACTCCAGCTTGGGCCGTGAGATGGGCAGTTTGGGCAAACCTCATCAGCTGATGAGAAAGCCAGGAGCTGGATGACACTTGCCACCATTTCTCCCAATCTCTTTATCCTCTTTCCATAATGGGCTCTGAGGTGTGGTCAGCAAAGTAACTGCTTCTGTAACATAAATACAGAAGGCAAAGAAAGACTGAGCTTGAGCCCCTAGTTTCTCCTATGCTAGGTGGGGTCTCCAGAGTCAACATTTTTCCTACAGTCATCTCTTGCCCAAGGCTCAACCTGGTCAGTGAGGGTTTCTTTCTTACCCAATGGTTGGAAAATATGTGCTGTGCAGTAGGGTGGGGGGTGGGGGTGCTTTGCATGTGTCAGAGAGACCTTGACGAGAGCAGCGGTGTGGTGGTTGGAGTAGAATGCCACCTGGTGGGCACGTTCGATATTACAGTTCCTCTGTGGTGACTCACAAAGCCTCGGCCTGGGTTTCTGCAGACTGATGGAAGGCGCACCTGAACTAGCAGGGACTGCTTGCATCGTAGTGCCCCAAATGTCACGAGGGCTAACCACCAAACGGGCACACATAATGTATACAGAGGAGGACACCGAGGCCCGCCTGACGGCCGTCATTCCCTCATAATTTAGGACTCTAGGGCATCATCCCCCCCCCTACACCCCCCCCCATTCTTCACAGCTCCTCAGCTCTCCCTGCCCCTGGGCTCCTCCCTCCCTCTGACTGCAGAAGAGTAAAGGGGTGGACAGTGGACACCTCCCAGAGCCTCCGTTTAGGAGGGGGTCTGAGGCGGCCAGGCTTCATTCCTCACTCCCTCCGCCCACACACACACTTGTCTGGGCGTCATTGGCCCCCCCCATCAGCTCTTTAAGGGCCTTTCTTTGTGTCCTCATCACTCTGGGCAGTGCCAGGCACACAGTAGGTGCTTAATAACTGTTTATTCACCGTGGTCTCCTCATCAGTCCGCGTCATAACCACAACGGTCATTAGAATAATAACAGCATTTATGCAGCACTCAGAGGCCTTTGAGCCTTCCAACACTATTATGGTTCCATTTCACAGATGAGGAAACTAAAGCAAACACGAGTTAAATGGCGCCTCGGGGTCACTCCGCGGTCTTTCCCTCGCCTCCTTGGTACACAAGAGGGTAAACTGAGGCCCGAGCGGCCTCTCCTTTCTGCGCTGAACCCATCTGACACGCGTGGCTGAGGATGCTGGCGTGGCAGAGGGGTCACAGGTCATAAGAGGCAACCCGAGGTCCGGTTGTCCAGGGTGACCTTTGACCTCTGGCCAATTTTTGTCTCCCCCCCCATCACCCCGGACCCAAGATGGCGGCTCTGACCAAGCGTCCCCGCAGTGGCCCACAGCGAGGCCGGTAGCGCAGCCACGGCTGCCGCCAGCCCGGATAGGCTCAGCCTTCGTGGGGCCGACGTATGCATCGGCGTCTGGGACGCTCTCCCTCTGCTCATTGGCCCGGCTGCCCGTCGCTCAGACGTTTCAAAACCCCGCCCCGCCCCTCGCCGCGACCGTTACTCGCGTAAACAACTCCTCCCTCTCTGGCGCTCGCCCCCGAGCTACTGAGCGCGCGCGTGCGAGACACCGCCCCTCTCCTCCCGCAGGGGCCGCGTGACGGCCCGGGTTCAAACCGCCCAATCGGGGGCGCCCGCTCGCCGCTCCGTTCTACTCGGCCCCTGCCTTCACCCATCAGTTCCCGTTCCCCGACCAGCTCCGTGCGTGCGCCGCCTTTCACGCTCTCATTGGCCTTTCCTCTCTCGGGCCCCAGGCTCCCATTGGCCGACCCCAGGCCCTCGGGCCCGCGGCCACGGTCCCAACGGGCGACGGGCGCGCGCGCCCGCGGTCGCGTCTGGGTGCGCGGGCGGGCTGGTGCACGCGCGCCGTGGAACGGATGTGCCCACGTCTTTAGGGCGGGGGGGGGAGTGTCTCCGGCGCATATAAAAGGACGTCGCTGCGCGCGCGGCGGACTCAGTGCGGCGGGGCAGCCGAGGGGGGTGGGCGGGAGGTCGCGGGAGCGGGCGCGGCGGCGGCGGCGGCGGCGGCGGCGGCTGCTGCGGCGTAGGGCAACGGGAGCAGGAGCGGCCCGCGGCGGTCGCGGGAGCCGGCCCGGGGCCGAGGAGGCGGCCGCGGCGGAAGCGGAGTCGGAATCGGAGCCCGGGCGCACCAGGCACGCGGGGGAGGCGGCCCCCTCCCCCGAACCCCCCAATCCCGGAGGCCGTCCCGAGGAGGGGGCTTGGGGGGAGCCGCCCCCCGGGCCCCGGCGACATGGTGAGTTGGGCGGGGGGAGGCCCGGGCTAGGCCGGCCCGGTGCCCAGCCTGGAGGAGGAGGAAGAGGAGATGGGCCGGACAGGGCAGGCCCCGGTGACCAGCCTGGAGGAGGCGGTCCTGACCCAGGACAAGCCCCGGCGGCGTCTGGCCGGAGGAGGCGGCTCCAGGGTCCCCGCCCCAAGGGGCTGCGCACAATCCCGGTGGGTGTCTCCTGGGGAGGGGTCCCGGTGCCCCTTGGGACCACGAGCCTGCCCCCCACCCTGTGGCAGAATGAATGAGCCCCCGCTTGTGTGTGCGCGCACGCGTGTCCGTGTCTCTGCATCTTTAGGCCGGGTTGGGGGAGGGGGGAAGAGCAGCGCCACGGGAGCCAGGGCCAGGAGGGTCCCGGGGTCCGCCCCCCCCACCCATCCCTGGCTTCCCTTCCCACGGCCTCCAGAACTCCAACGTGGAGAACCTGCCCCCCCACATCATCCGCCTGGTCTACAAGGAGGTCACGACGCTTACCTCGGATCCTCCCGATGGCATCAAGGTCTTTCCCAATGAAGAGGATCTCACGGACCTGCAGGTCACCATCGAAGGCCCAGGTCAGCCACGCCCCCCCCCACCTGCGTGCCCCCTGCCCCTACCCCCACTCATGCCAACCCCCTTCTTTCTGGGCAGAGGGGACCCCATATGCAGGAGGCTTGTTCCGCATGAAGCTGCTCCTGGGGAAGGACTTTCCAGCGGCCCCCCCCAAGGGCTTCTTTCTCACCAAAATCTTCCACCCCAACGTGGGAGCTAATGGCGAGATCTGTGTCAATGTGCTCAAAAGAGACTGGACCGCTGAACTGGGCATCCGCCATGTGCTGCTGGTGAGTGCAGAGCCGGGGCTGAGATGCCTGCCGGCCCCCTGGGAGCGAGGAGCGCGGGGGCTCACCACGTGGGCAGGCCCTCGTGTCGGCTTACCTTCACAGGTGCCTCTGCCATCTCGAGGGCAGGCGCGGGATATGTGCCCAAGTAGGAGAGGATGGGGGTGGGGGGACAGGACAGGAGGCTTTGTGGGAAAAGGGCATGCAGCTGAGTCTGGGCGGAAAGCAGGAATTCTGAGAGGTGAGGTAAGGAGGAAGAGCATTCTTGACGTGGGGCTCAGCCTGGGTAAAGGCGCAGAGGTGGGAGATGGGGTACTGGAGGAACAGGGCCTCTGAGCCCGCGATGTGGACAGGACATAAAGAAGCCAAGCCCTTGAAGGTCCCTGTTTGGAGTCCTGAGGCCCCACAATGACAGCTCCCATGAGCCCCGGCTGCCAGCGCGCGGAGCATCATGGGATTTGTAGTCCATGGGGATCCTCTCTCTAGCTGGTGGTAGACTGGGGAGGGAGGGAGTAGCCCACGTGACCTTCCTCCCCTCTGGAGGCTGGCCCTGCTCCCAGTCTCTGGCTGCAGCCCCTTCCCCGGGGAGTCTGAGATGTGAGGTTGTGGTTCGCAGTTGTGAGAGTTCGTGGGGGGCTTCTTGAGAGGGTGAGGGTCAGTAGCCCCCTCTTCATTGGGCCCCCCCGCCGCCCCCACTGTCTGCAGACTATCAAGTGCCTTCTGATCCATCCGAACCCTGAGTCGGCGCTGAATGAGGAGGCTGGCCGCTTGCTCCTGGAGGACTACGAGGGATATGCAGCTCGGGCCCGGCTGCTGACAGAGATCCATGGTGGGGCTGGGGGCCCAGGGGCCGCGAGGGCGGCAGAGGCAGGGGCCTCTTCGTCGTCCCCACCGGGCCCCGGGGCCGAGGGCCCCATGGCCAAGAAGCACGCTGGGGAGCGGGACAAGAAGCAGGCCGCCAAGAAGAAGACAGACAAGAAGCGGGCTCTGCGCAGGCTGTAGGAGGGGGCGACTTTTGTATCTCACTAAGTTATTTAAATTATGGTGGGGGAGGGCGGTGGGAGGGGGAGTTGGGTTTTTTTCTAGAATAAAGTTGAAAAAGCAGCAGCTGAAGGTTCGCATGGTGATTGAGCTTGAGAGGCCTGACTGGTTTGATGGCTCATAGCCGTCCCCATCTTCACTCCAATAAAATCAGTGGTTGGAGTCAAGGGACCTTTGTGTTCTCAGCTGATGGGGCCTCTCCTGGGCCCATCATGCAGCAGGGCAGGCTTCTCTGAGGGTCTGGACCTCCAAGTCCCCACAACCTTGATTCTGTTAGAGGGGGGCTGGCCCACAACTGGAAGATTCCTCCAACCCAGATGCTGAACCTGGGGCTCTCTGACTGTGGGGCCTGGGTCTGGGGCAGCCCCCAGGCCTTTGGATTGGATCTCTTCAGGTTGGCCCAGCTGGGACTTTGGGAGCTGCTGCTCTCCACTCTGGGCCGCTCCCTACTTTGGCAAGGGGCTAACTTAAGCACCCTTCCATCCCCTAGTCTTGCCCAATCTTCTATGGGCTGCGTGCCTTCTGGTCACTACTGCAGAGGAAACCCAGTGCCTTGGGTGCACAGAATTGAGGGAGGAGAGGAGGGACCGAAGGGGAAGAGGAGGAAGCACATTGGAAACACAAGCAGGGTTATGGAGAGATGGTATCCTTGAATGGAAAGCTAAGGGGAGTGGTGTGGGCTAGGTCATAAACACAAGGTAGGAGTTGGGGGTGGGGGCGGTGAGAGGATCAGGACCAAGACCACAGCTCTGGGCCAGGAGGAGCAAAAGATAGACCAGAGAAAAGGGGGACCCTGGGAGAGACCCCCACAGGGACTATAGAGAAGGAAAGGATGGGTAGGCATGGCGAACTGGGTGGGCAGAGCCCTGGCCACGGCCCTGTGGAGGGTTGGCACCTGCACTTCCTTCTCAGGAGGAGCTGGGGGTCTGGTGCTGGGGTTGCCCTTGCTGGCGTCCAGGGCTGCGCACATCTGCAGCATTGACGTGATTGTGGGTGTCGGTCTAGCCACGTGTGGATGCATCACCCACCTGAAAGCAGCGGGCCTCAGAGGTGCTGCTCATCTAGACGGGGAGCCCCAAGCTCCTGACAGCAGATGGACCGCTGCCTCTAGACAGACTCCCTGCCGCTCGGCCTCGTACATGGGGTTTCCAGGCTCATCTGAAGTCTGCTTCTGATTGTGCTCCTGAGCTACCTGGCCGGTTGGTGGAGGGCACCCACAGGCTAACTCCACATGCTAGCTTCATTTCCACTGGTCTAAGGGGAGCTCTGGGCAGCTTCATCTTTTTGTCCAAATTTCAGGCTGTTTTCCACTGAGGCGCCCCCTAATTGCTATTGGGCTTTGCCCTTCGTAATTCTAGACTGAATTCGTGACCCCTCCACCCCAAGCTGTTGCTTCTCCTCACCTGTTAGCTCAGACTTTCCTAGATCTCTCCTTGTGCTGATTAATTTTACACATACACCACCATACTCCTAATTCAGTAAACCCGTGTTCCCTATCCCCTCCATGGTTAGAATCCCAAGGCATTCAAAGCCCTCCCTACCTCACACCCTGGGGAACGCCCCCATCTCTGCCCCCAGCCTCCCTCACATCTCAGCTAAAGCCAATCTACAGGGAGCCCTTCCTTGCACCCCTAAACATGCCTCCTCTCGAACTGCAGTTTATTCTGCTTCCATCTTGTCTGTGTATGCTGGTTTTCATGTTTTCGTGTCGTCTTGCCCATCAGGCAAACAGCTGAGAACGCCTTGAGGATACAGACTCTGCCTTGTGTGCCCAGCACTTAGCAGGCTCTTATAAATGCCTCGTATGCCCACAGTGCCCCCCAGGCCTATCTGGTCCATATCCCCCGCCGCCTCCTGTGCCCCCCCACAGGCCGTTTTCAGGGTGATACATCCCCCAGGACAGGTGCCCCTAAACAAGCTGTGGGCAGTGCCAGCCTTTTCTGCAACCCCATCCCCCACTCCCAGCTACCAGAGCAAAAGGGCCCTCCATGAGCGCCCCCCCCAGCAACAGAAATCACTCCACAGCAAACCCTAAGCAACAGGGGTCACTCCATACCAATCCCCTAGCAACAGAGTCCACTCCATAGCAACCCAGACAAAAGGTACCTCTCCATGCCCAGCAGCAGAGGCTAACTCCCGGGGTCCTCACGACTGCCATTTCACTGAATCCTACCACTTGACAGAAAACCCAAATGTGGGGGACAAAGAATTTTCCCAAGACCAGTCAGGTGCACAGAACCTAGGGCTCCAGGATAGTTTCCCCTCCCCCAGCAGCCCCTGACGGCACCTCTTTGCTCCCCCCTTGCAGGGGGTGAGCTCATCAAAGCGGCTTGTATAACTTGGCATCATTAGACTCCCTCCGTTACAGGCCCTGGCGCTGCTGTCTGGGGTCTTCCTGGTAATCCCCAAATCAGCCCACTCTGGCATCAGAACATGAGGGGGTGGGGCCCAGGCAGGATGATGGCTTAGCCATAGCAACTCAATTGAGTTTTTCCATAGCAACCAAAGACAGGTGCTCCATAGCAACCAGCAGCCACAGCAGCAAAGCAGGAAGTAGTTACGGTCCACCTGATGCTAACCTCCAGGGCCCAGGGCTCACCCCCTCCTCTCCCTACATCCTCACCAGGATGCCACAAGCTCCTTAAAGAAGGCAAGGGAGGTTGACGTGGGAAGAAGGAAGGGACTCCCCTCCAACCGCAGAAGCTCAGCACCACAGAGGGGGTGGTTCGGATTGCAGGAAGTACAAGCCCTCCTAAGCTGGGGAGATGTGATCCTCGGATGACTTGGGACCTCGAGCAAGCCGGGGTGGGGCCAGAACCAAGGCACCAAGGACTTCCGGGCCAGAATCCCCCCCACAAGGTTTCCTAACCTTCTGCCCAGAGGCAGGACTCCCCAAGTGATAAAACAAATAAGGCAGGCTCATGGAGAGGATACCATCTGCCTAAGTCACCAGATAACCTGGGACATTAACACACCAGCTTCCTCACTTGGAAAGGAACTTTCTTCTTTTTAGGGCCTGGCTTGGGGTCACACAGCTAGGAAGCCTGAAGCCAGATTTGAATTCAGGTCCTCCAGACTAGAGGGCTGGTGCTCCACCTAGTGTACCCCTTACCTGCCCCTGAAATAACTTGGTTTTTTTTTCTTCAAGGTCCTTCCCACCTCCAAAGACCATCTCACACCCTCACTTCAGAGACCAGTCTAGGCCACCTCCTCTTATCTAAGGTGGAACACAGAAAACCCATTTCCTTCCAGTCCCTCCAGGAGACAATGCCCGGATGCTGAAGCCTGGGCCAAGTTCAGGCCTAGATGGAAAACCACCCCCTTCCCCAAGCACTGCTAACCATCAAGCAGAGAGGGGATGCCCTTTCCTCTTGGAGAAAGGCCCAGATTGGGGAGGGAAAGAAGGAGGCAGGAGACAGGTTGGGCAGTCTGACTTTATTAGCCAAAGGCAGGCCAGGAACTTCAGGTGCTCTTGGGTGGGCGAGTTCTCTTCTTCTTCACCACCACTGGCTTCTGGCTCCGCAGGATGGCGCTGGCTCGGCGCAGAGCGGCCTAGGAAGGGAGAGCAGGCCTGAAGGGAGGCACCCCAGTCATCCCCCCCAAGCGGGCATCCCACCTCGAGGGGGCCTCGAGCAGCACTGGAGGCCAGGCACCCGCCTGTTCCCCTTCCCCTGGGCCCGGGCTCTCACCATGCGGAGATCTTTCCGGTATTTATTCTTGCGGATAATGTGTCGGACACTATTGAGGGTGGCCCGAGCATTTTTGTTGATTGTGGTCCTCACGTAGGAAGTGGCGGGCTTCCTCTGACCTGCAAGAGGGAGGGAGAAGCAGGATGCGGTTATCCATCTAGGATGCCTTCTACCTTGATGAGTGATGGGGGTCAGGCAGTTTCTCAACTCCAAGCTGCCTCAGGCTGTTGAGAGAGGAGGGCAGGGGCAGCTAGGTGGAGCAGTGGATACAGCACTGGCCCTCCTGACTTCAGAATTCAAATCCAGTTTCAGACCAAACACCTGACACTTAAGTAGCTGTCTGACCCTGGGGCAAGTCACTTAACCCTAACTGCCAAAAAAAAAAACAAAAGAGACAGCGGGAAGCCGCCAGTGTCCTTCCTCTGACCCGTCCCTCAGGCTCCTGATGCTGACACACATTGGCTCCCAAAGAGATCAACTACAACCCTCCCCACCCCTCCAGACAGGAAAACAGGAGGCCGGAGGATCTGGTCAGTCACAGCGCACATGCTGGGCTTCATCCACACAAGGACCAACAACACCAGCCTCGGACCCTTGGGCACTTAAACCCCATCCAGGAAGACAGGCACACCCAAAGCACGGGGCTCAGACCTCCTGGAAGAATAGAAATGGGGCAGACTGGAGGCCTCTGACCGCCCCACCCCAATCTCAGAGAAAAGCTCACCCTGATTCTGAGGCCCAACGTCAGACACAGCAGGTGGTGGGGCTTTCTGGGCTACTTTAGGCTTTTGGGGAAATGTTGTTAAGTCCCTGATGACTTCCCCAAGCCAGACTTGGGGCAGCCCCACCCCCTTACCTGCCTTATGTACCTTGTGGGCCTACAATGCCACCCTGCTGGCTCCCCAGAACTCCCCCCACAACCCTCAGCACCCAAGGCCTGTGCCACTACCTCCTCTTCCTTCAAACATTCTCCTTTCTGGGGTCCTTTTCCTTCTCAAATCACCTCCCACCTACTCTCTTTATTTCCATGTTCTATCTCACCCTGAGAAGATCCCAAAGGGCAGGGAGTGGTGCACTTAAGAAATGCCTGCCGACTTCCATCACGGCTTCCCTTCAAAGGCATTCTCTTGGGGAGGCCCCTCCTGGTCCCCAAGGCTAGCCTAGCCAGCCTCAGCCTTCCTCTGGACTCTTCTGGGCATACCCAGCTCCCTCACACAGTGGGCACCCCCTAAAGTAGCTTGGAGTGTGGGTGGTGATGCAGGACGCATGGTCTGGGAAGGCTGCCCCAGCCTCAGGCCTCCTCTCTGTGGGGTCTTGGCCAAGGACCAGCCCCTCTCCGACTTACTTTCCCTGCGTGTAAAAGGCCAGTGGATTAGATTCCAGTGGATTCAGAACACTTACTCTGTGCAAGGTGCTGCCTGGGAAAGCAAGCTGGTCCCTGCCCTCAGAGCGGTTCTGATGGGGTTAGGATCTAGACCCCAGAAAGAAAAAACCCTGGACTTTCCCAACTGGCCAAATCTCTGGCTTTCACTTTAGGCTAGAATCCCATCAACTGGCCTTTCATGGTGGCTACACCCAATCTCCCAATTCTGTTACCTTTAACCTAGCCTGGCCATTTTCTAGCTAGGCTCCATTCTCCCGTGGCCTCGAGGTCCAGATCCCCGGAGTTCTGTTCACCCCAACTTACTGGCCATTCCTAGGTCCCTCCCACAGTCCTTCTGTATATGAGGCCCACCTCGTCTCCATTAAGACGCTGGGATTCTCATAATCTAGCCACTGCTCAGATTCCTAAAAACTAGCCTCCTTAAGAATCTGCCCAGTATGACCGATGTTCTAAAAAGCCTTGTCTTTGGCTGAGAGAAGGCTTGGGTCGAATTCTTTGGGACAGGACCCCGCGTGCTGCGATTTTGGGGTCCCAGGACCCCCGAACCCCTAAACTGCACCAGTTCCGGTCACTGGTTAGACCCACCTGCCCGGCGCTTCAGCACCACCACGATGCCCTTGCCGTCGGCGGCCGGCTCGATGCCCACCGTCTTCCGGTGGATCAGCCCGTTGTAGCGGAACGAGTTTCGGGCCTTGAGGTTGTTGGGCTCCTGCGGGGTGGGGGGGGTAGGTGAGTAGCGATCCTGGCCCGGGGGTCCTGACTCCCCTCCCACCCCCGCGCCCCCCACTCACGGTGCTGTACGTCTGCTTGTTGCGCTTGATCAGGAAGCTGGAGCAGTTCCGAAGGACCATCCACTGCAGGTGGGCCGACATGGCGGCGGGGGGCTGGGGGCGAAAAGCGGGGGGGGGTGGGAAATCCCGAAAACCTCGGGCAGGGGGAAGGAGGCCCCGGAGGGGGGGCTGGAGACCTCGGGCGGAGGGGAGAGACCCTGGAGGGGTGGCTGGAGACCTCGGGCGGAGGGGAGACCCTGGAGCGGGGGCTGGAGACCTCGGGCGGAGGGGAGACCCTGGAGCTGGGGCTGGAGACCTCGAGCGGCGGCGTTCACGGCCTCGAAGGGCGAGCGCAGTCCGCCATTACCTGCTCGCGCGGCGGCTCCCGGAGACGGAAAGGGCCCGGCGGGGGGCGGGGCTGAACCTTTAATAGCCCTGCGCGTTTCCGCTTCCGCCTCCTGTCGGCTGGGCTCGGGCGGATCCGGAATCCTTCGGCGGCCGCTCCTTGGCCCCGCCCCCGCCTCGGCTCCCTCGGAGCCTTTCGGCTGGGTCGGCCCCAGGGCCCCCGACTCCCAGCGGCCCCGGGCTGCCAGGGGCTCCGGCGCAGCCCATCTCTGCACCGCCCCTCCCCCCCCCCGGCCCACCCCGTCTCCGCACAGCAGCGATGAGCATGGCCTCTAGGTGGCGCCGCGGGTGAAGCGTTGGGCTGGGAGGTGGCAAGCCCTTGGTTCGAATCCTATGAGTCACTTGGCCGCTCTGGGCCTTAGTTCGCCCACCGGTAAAGGGAGGCTCATAAAGGCACCAGAGTCTCCCAAGGCATTGGAAGGTCCTGTCCCCTCCCATCTTGCTACAGCCCAGGCGCAGCTCCCATTTCCATGCTGCCTGGCCCAGAAATGCCTAATAAATGCTTGTCAGGGGCAGCTAGGTGGCAGAGTGAATAGAGCTCAGGCCTTGGAGTCAGGAACACCCGAGTTCAAATCCAGCCTCAGACACTGAACACTTACTAGCTGTGGGACCCTGGGCTAGTCACTTAACCCCAATTGCTTCACCAAACAGCAAAAATAAATAAATGCTTGTCAACAACTCGTTTTCAACCAATAAACATTTATTAAGTGCCAGCTGCGTGCCAAGTCCCATGCTGCTTTGAGACTTGCCAAGCGCTTCACTCGCCCTTGCAATGACAGCCCCAACCCTCAGCCATGCTCACACAGCTAATAAAGGGCACCGACTTGCCCAGGGTCACTAGGTGGAAATTGACCCCGGGTCAGGACGCTTCCTGCCCTCTTCTGGGCAATACCTCCCCACCCTCCCCATGCACCCATTACTGTGCGCAGGCCCTGTAGCCAGGAAGACAAAAGCGAAGGGCATCAGCCTTGGGGTCCCCCAGGGAGGTCAAAGTGCTGGGGGAGGGCCTGGAGGCCCAGGGAACGGCCCAGCCAGGACGCGAGGGAGGGCCAGGTCGGCAGGCCCAGGAGTAAAGCGACATGAGAACTGTGGGTTGGAGCCAGGCCGTGCCAGCCAAAGGAGACACAGTCGTATTTAGCTGCAGGGGCCATAGGGAGCCAGTGAAGATTACTGAGCAAGGGTGACCCGTGTTAACCAAACAATCTAGTCCCAGCTGCATGGGGAGGGCAGATCGCAGAGGAGGGAGGCTGAAGACAAGGAAACCGGTCATGGCTCTCACTCACTCAACCAACACTTATTAAGCACCCACTGTGTGCAGGTGCTGTGCCCAGCCCGCAGGGAGCTCCCCATTTGAATCCTCAGGACACTAAGCGCTGACCCTTGGTGCAGAGTCCCTGCATGACCTTGGACAGGTTTCTCACCTCTGTGCCTTGGCTTCCTCCTCTATAGGAGGAGGGGGTCCCACCTCAAAGTGGCTGATGGAGAGAGAGAAGGGGAAAGGGGCAGGGCCCAGGGACCTCTTAAGAGCTGGAAGGGCTGAGGGCAGCTAGGTGGCGCAGTGGATAGAACACTGGCCCTGGAGTCAGGAGGACCTGAGTTCAAATCCGGTCTCAGACACATAACACTCACTAGCTGTGTGACCCTGGGCAAGTTGCTTAACCCCATTGCCTAGTGAAAACAAACCAAATAAAAAAAAACAAAATAAAAAGAGCTGAGGGGCACAACGGCAGTTGTTCTGAGTGCTGCAGGCCTGGGTTCCTGGGCTTCTGAGGGAGGGCAGTCTGGGGAAGCGTGGAAAGACCCCCTTGACTTGGAGTCAGACCTACCACCCTCGCCCTCCTATGCCTTCTCCATGCCTCAGTTTCTCCAGCTCTACAGAACAGTAGGGTTGGGCTCTGAGGACCTTCAGGTGCCTAGTGGGCTCTGAAGTTCGTTGGCTGAGCGATGCCCAGAGCCACCTCCGAGGCGTGGAGCACCAGGATCCTCACGCCCCAGGCTGGCATCGGACCCACTCAGCGCCGCTCCCAAGCCAGGGCCTGGTCTGGATCTGTTCTGCCTCTCCAACATGTGTGACTTTTAGAAGGTCACTCCTTAGAATGGGTGGGTTGGGCCTCCTGACTTCCCAAGGCTGCCCCAGCTCAGAAAGTCTGTGGCTTGTCGTGGCGGGGGTGGGGGGGCACATTTCTGGACCCGTTTCTTCCTGAGTACAGTCAAAGGTGAGCACCCTTCCCTCTGTATGAGTGCCATGGGGTCCCTAAGGTCCGTGACCCTCAGACTCCCTGGCCCCCCATCTTCCTGGGATCCTCTGCCCAGCCTCTTCCAGCAGCCAGGGGCACCTTCCCCCTCTAGTCCTCAGCCTCTACCCAATACCCAGGAAGGACAGGTGGCTGGGGCTCCCGGCTCCCTCCTCCCCTGACCCCGCCCACTGGGGCTCTCTCACCCCGGAACCTGTCCAACCGGTTCCCGGGGCTCCCCCCTCAGAGAGCCCCAGCCATGGCCACTGCCTCCTCTTCCTCCTCCCCATGCCCGGGGCCTCCTTCGGCAGCTCCAGGCGCCCCGGCTCCCATTGCCAGGGCATCTTCAGCCTCTTCGGGCCTGGGCCGCTGCCGGGTAGCTCTGCTGCTGGCCGTGGGCCTGGACGTGGCCGGGATGGTGGCCTTACTGACCGGTGTCTTTGCCCACCTGCAGGTCCAAGGTCGGGACTTTGGAGACCTGCTCATCTACTCAGGGGCCCTCATGGTCTTCCTCAGCCTGCTTGGCTGGATCTTCTGGTACACGGGCAACATCGAGATCTCCCGCCAGGAGCTGGAGCGGGACTATGGCCGCAGGCCGGGCACGCTGGCCCGGCTGGCCCACAAGCTGTCCAGGCGCTGGTCTGCCCAGCCGGGCCCGGGTGGCGGGGGCGCCCGGGGGCGCCGAGGCCCTCCCAAGCGCCAGGCCCAGACTTCCCGCCGCGTCCGCCTGCAGCTGAGTCGGCTGGAGGCCTCGGCAGCAGGATCAGGGAAGGAGTGAGAGAGAGGCCCAGGTGAGAGGGCGGGGCCCCCTTTTCTGTCTCTCTCCCACCCCCCTTGACCAGAAGTCAGGGGGGCCTCCTCTGTGCTGTGTGACCACAAGGAAACCTGGTGCTTCTGTAACATGAGGAAGAGGAGGAGGAGGCTGCATTAGTTATCCCCAATATCTCCTCACCTGTAACCCTATCACTAGAGTGATAGAGGCTAGGTCTCTCATCCGCCCTCCCAAGGGGCCGGGAAGGAGACGCTTCCCAGGCCTTAATGAGCCCTAAGTGTGGACAGCTCAGCATTAGGATTAGATGTCTTCACCAGCTCCCACCCTGCTCTCACCCCATCCACTCATTCAACAAAGCTCCAGCAAAGTACCTACTATGTGCATGGCACAATCCTCTCCGTCCCCTCCCCTCTCCCTCCCCCCTCCCCATCTCCTTCTCTGTCCCTTCACCTCCTGTTCCCATGCCCCTCAGTCTCCATGCTCTTCCCTCCCTCTCATCCCCTTCTAGCCTTCCTATCCCCTATTCCCTTCTCTCCATTTTTTTTTTGTTTTAGGCAATTGGAGTTAAGTGACTTGCCCAGGGTCACACAGCTAGTACCCTTCTAAAGAATCCTTATTACAGCATTACCAGTGAGGAAGTACCTCACCTTTGCTTGAATACCTCCAGTGCTGGAAGCCTCACTACCTCCAAAGCAGCCCATGCCCCTCTTGGGTAACCCAGTTAGGAAGTTTCCATTCAGCTGAAATCTACCTCTTTGAAACTCTCCAGCCCCTGCCCCAAACCATTGCTCCTGCTTTGGCCCCTTTGCGGGAGTCCCATCAGACCTTCAGATACTCGAAGGCAGATCTCAGGTTCACCCTCCATCTTCTCTTAGCTAGTGTCAATACCCCCTGTGCCTTCATGGGCTCCTCCTACAATTTGAACTGGATAGCGGCCCTTCTCCAAATGGAGCGTGGAGTCTAACAACAATGGGTACATACAGCTGGCCTGTCCGCTCCTTACTGCTAGACATTCTACAATCTCTACAGTTGGTTGGTTGTTTTAATACTGTATCACAGGGAGACCCATATTGGACTTGTAGCCCATGAAGACCCTCAGATCTCTTCCAGACAACTGTCTACCCATGTCAAAGAGAGGGAGGCAATGTGTTGCCTTGGAAGGATACTACAGGTATCCAAGCAAAGGCTGGAAGACCATTGGCTGGGGGATTGTGAAGGGGATTTGTTCAGCTGTGAGTTGAAATATATATGCATATACATACACATATACACATGCACATATGCATATATATGATACACACATACAGGTACCCATACACATATAGCAACACATATAAGTATACACATACACGTACATGTACACATGCACATATACAAATACATGTATATATATATACATATATTCAGAAATGCTGTGATTTCTTTGACTTCCATTCCCATCCTTCAGGTCACTCCTACTGCTGCCTCCCCTTCAAGCTCTGCTGTTCCCAGCCATGTCTTCTATCCCTCCCTCTCCATCCTTCTGTCTTCCTATCCCTTTTTCTTTCATCCCACTTCCTTATGTCCACCCCCTTCTCTCCCTATCCCATTGTGTATCTCCACCCTTTTATTTCTTCCCTATCTCCTTTTTTCCCATCTAGCACCTGACACCTTAATAACTATTTCTTCTCCCCTATTCCCTCTTTTCCCCTGTTCCATTTTTTCCCTCAATCATCACCTTCCGGGGGGGGGAGGGATACCAGAGATGGGGTATGTGTGCACATCCCTACTCCTAGAGGGGTTTGGGGTTTTGGCTGGCACACTTACGCTGTTCTCTCTCCAGCAGGTGCCCCACCCAAATCTGGATGCAATGGCAGAGACTGAAATGGCCCCAGTTCCAGAGAAGAGCACCCTTTCCCTCAGAGACATGGTTCCCTACTCCCATCTCCTCCCTACTGTCTCCTCCCTTCTTCCCCATCAGGTGGCCTCTGGATAAAAACTCCCCTCTCAAACTGGATTCCCATGTTTATATCTTTGGGCACCTTTAGGAACCAGTTTAAGAACCTGGGGTGTGGGTAACCTCGCTCTCTCCAACCTTCAGCACCAGGGAGACTTTGCCTTCCCTAGAGCCCAAGGGTAGGGGGTGGGGTTCCTTCTGATAGTTGGACCTGGAGAGATCAAGGGAGGGCCAGGCCCCTTCTCTACATCCCCTCCCATTCCCTCTCCCCACTCGGGTCTTCCTTTGGTAGACAGCGACTCCTCCATACAGGAGCAGTGAAGCCCACTATGGTCCTTCCTCTTGCCCTTGCTAGATTCCATCCCCTTAAGGACTGATCATGGCAGAGTGAAGAGATGGCTGTATTTGAAGTCACATGACGTAAGTCCAAGGCTCTACCATGTTCTGCGTGGACTGTAGACCAATCACTTATTCTCCTGGGCTCCCTATACATGAAGTGAGGGTATTGGGCGAATACAATCTGTGGCCCTCTCAGCTATGAATCTGTGGTCCCATGACCATGAGGCCCAGTACCGCCGCAGCTCTGTCTGTGCCTCCCCTGTAATTACTGATCAGTCTTCCTAGTGGGGCTGGGGGAGGCAAGAGAAGCTGAGGCGAACTCCGAGGACCAGAGATTCTGGCATCATGGATTTCCAGTTGTTTGGAGAAAGACCAAGTGTGAGGAGCTACAAGATGCAATGGAAAGTTCTCCATTGAACTGAAATTCTGATGACCAAGAAGTGAGTTCTCTAAGGAAAGGGCGAGAGGGCTACCTAGAGAGAGATGTGGATGCACTGGAAGCTCTCGGGAGAACTTGCATCTGTGAGAAGACACGTGTAAAAAGACTACATCAGGGTGTGGAACAGAAGATGAATGCCAAAAGGGGGCATGGTCCTATAGGAATAATATCAGAAGGGCAAAAGTGTTTGATGACCTGAGGTTGTCAAAGGAAGCTAAGGGCTATTTGTTCAGTGGTTTCAGTCACGTCTGACTCTTCATGACCCCATTTGGGGTTTTCTGGGCAACGATATTGGAGTGGTTCACCATTCCCTTCTGCAGCTCATTTTACAGATGAGGCAACTGAGGCAAAACTAGTGAAGTGACTTGCCCAGGGTCACACAGCTAGAAAGCATCCGAGGCCAGATTCGAACACTCCAGGCCTGGTGCTCCATCTGCCACAGCATCAAGGCTGCTATACCGAGGGGGAAGAACAAAAAAGAAGGAAGAGATGATGTTCAGTGTCTCTGGGCGGGGGTATGTATGAGTGCATGGGTGGCAGGAAGCTGAGCTACTAGATGGACACCGGCTTGGCTTGTTTCTTCTTTACTTTCAAGGAGGAAAGAGTAGAAAGCATTAGACGGGGAGATCTCTGAGCACATCGTGACAGAGTTTGTGGCTGCTCTTGCCCTCACCCAGATGAATGAAATCTTCTTTCGGTCCTGAGAAAACTGGTATTTGCTCAGTTACTGTCCATGATCATAGACGTCAGCAGAGACCCAGAAAGGTGGAACAAGCCTGGAGATGGGCAGATGCCCGCGGGCTTCCTAAAGGGGGAGCAATTCTTCACACTCTAGGGCAGGGAGCTTAGCTCTCTGGGCAAAATTCAACCAAGGCGGGAGTTGTGAGCAGCCAGCAGATTTGTAGTCTCCTTCCCGTTCTGGCTGGGGCCTCTGGAGGCGGCCTTCATCCCCTGGGGGTCAGCACGGTGATGGTGAGCCTTGTGGGCTCCGCTGGCAGGGCCCATTTCCATGTCAGGAGGAGACATCACAGTAAGATGTCAGTTAAGTTTCATTCTCTGAAGGATGAAAGAATGAAACTCCATGACCTCCAAGGTCCTCCTCCAGCTCCAGGTCTGGTGTCAGTGGGAGGTAATGGAATTGACTTTAGTGGGGTTCAAGAACAGGATCAGGCTAGCACATCTGAAGGAGAGCTCATATGAAATAAGCTCAGGAGATCACCGTGGCAGAGTGGATAAAGAGTTGTCCTTGCAGACAGGAAGACTTGGTTGTAAGACCTACCTGCTGGTGGCATGCACAGGATTTGTGGCCCCAGCCACTTAACCTCTTGATACCCTGAGCAGCTCTCGGAAACTTTCAAGTCACAGAGCCATCTTCCATCTGCATCAGAGGAGGAAGTTTCCTCATTGTTGATTTCCTTACACAAAGGAAACCACACATCTAGCTGGGGTAGGGGCTGGAATAGGGTCTTGGGAGGCGGGCAGAGAAGAAAGAAAGGAAAAGCCTCAAGGATCTTAGTGGCTACAAACACAAGAAACTAGAGTGACATGGAAGCTGTAGAAACTAGAGCAATCTTAGGTCTCATGGAGAGAGGCTTAGTGTCCAGGACGAGGGAAGTGAAGATTTTGATTGTATTTGGCCCATAGCTCTGCAGCTATGTTCCTCCTAATGCATGATGCCCAGAACTCTGGACACAGTGGCCCAGAGAAGGACCTGGGGATGTTTAGCCCAGAGAAAAGGAGGTTAAGTTTAAGTATTTGAAGGGCTGTCATATAGAAGAGGGATTAATGTAGTTCTATTTGGCCCCAGAAGGGAGAACGCAAGCCGTGGATGAAAGTCGTAGAAGCAGATTTCTGCTTCCTAAGAGTGGGGGTTGCACCAGAGTGCAATGAGCTGCCTCTGGAGGTCGTGAGCTCTCCCTCTCCCTCGAGGGTTTCAAGCAAGAGCTGAATGACTATATGGAGTTATAAAGATTATTCTTGTTTAGGTCTGGGACAGGTTGAATGCCTTGGAGGGCCCTTTGAGCTCTGAGAAGGGTCTGCTAATGCCCAGTGAGTCCTCAGTCAGTGTGCTTGACCAGAATTCACTCTGACCTCTTTGGCCCTAGTCCCTGGGGGAGTCCAGCTGCCCAGAAGACCGCTCCCCAGAGTGATGGGGCCTAGTGAGGTCCAAGGAGCATCTCCCACTGCCTCTGTGTCCTTCCTGTACCCTGTCTGGTCTAGAAGACTCACGCATGGCCCTGGAGCTGGCTGTGGCCAAGGAAGAACCCCACCTGGAGCCCTGCAACAGGCCACAAGTACAGGCACATACCAGGGTCAGGCCAAAAATCGAGGTAAGAGTGGCTTTAACCAAGGCTATATTTTTTCAAGGGCCATGGCGCCCCTAGTATTCATCCTCCTCTTCCCCTTCCTCTTCCTCTTCCTCGGTGCCTTCCATGGCCTCTGCAGCATCATCGCCAAGCTGCTTAGGGCCACCTCCATCAGCTAGGAGTGGAGACTGCTCCTTCTTCTTGAAGGAGAAGGAATGAGAAGACATAGAAGACTTCCTGGAGGTTTTCGGTTTCCCCGAGTCGCTCAAGCGGCCTGGCATCTTCAGACTCTTATGTAGGCCCCGACGTCTGGCCCACCTGGAGGAGGAGATGATCGGGTACTCAACCACTCAATCAGCTGGCAGTAATATATTGCTACAGTCCTTGAGAGTTGACAAAATGGGTTCATTCCCATTACACAGAGGGAGGGACTGAGGCTCAGAGAAGGCTCATTGGCTGATGGGATCACAGATGGAGAGCTAGAAGGGAACTCAGAGGCCATCCAGAGCTACAGAATCACAGCCCAGCAGAGTTGAAGGCAGCCTTAGAGATGAGGACCCCTTTGTCCCACCAGCCCCCTCATGCTATGGGGGGCAAAGCTGAGGTCCATGGGGGAGAAAAAGGGGCTTCTTCAAAGACAAGAAAGGAATGGCGATCCACCCCTGGGTCCCCTGGCTCCAAAGCCCAATTCCCTTTGCACTCAAGCCCAAAATCTGGCCCCTCACCAGAAGAAACAGATGAAAAAGATGAACATAACCAGGCCAGCGCACGTTAAGCCCAAGGTCCATAGGTGTTTCTTTCGCAAGCTCTCTGGAGAGGAGAAGGCAGGTGGGCAGAGGTGCCAGACCTGGCTGTCTGGGACCCTCCAGCCCACCTATGCCTGGGAGGACCCAGCCCCCCTTCGCCCCCCTGGGAGGACCCAGCCTGCCTACCCTAGGGGACCCAGCCCCCTTTTACCCCCCTGGGAGGACCCAGCCTGCCTTGCCTAGGGATCCCAGGCTTCCAGGTCCCCCTTTCTTGTCTCCCTTAGCTACCTAGCCATCTGTCATCCTTGAGGAACCACACGCCTAGCCCTTATTTCTTGTCCGAGTTGGGGGACCTAGAAATCTCGGCTTCCCAGAATGAAAACTCAGGCCCCCATTGCCTAGACTACAGCAGCCCCTAGCACACATTCACTTACCGTCAAGAGTCTTGTGGAAACAGTTCCCTTCCTCATAACAGCAGTGTAGCCGAAAACACAGGTTTGGGTTCTCGACGGCCGCCTGGCCCCCACATGCTTGCCTTTCCCACATGTCCCCTTCACAGCCTACGGGAGGGGATGGGGACCAAACATCCTGGATCCCTCCTCCCACGGGGATTCAGGGGTCCTGAGCCCCAGCACCCTCTAGATTGGGAACCTAGGAATCCTGATTAATCTCTAGCCAGAGCTCCCATCGGGGAAGTAGATGCTGTAAGCCTCTAGCCCACACCTTCACTGAGGACCCCAGCATCTCGCTCCCTAACCTTCTCCTCCCTCATTAGCCCCGGGGCACAGGTCTCCAGCCAGTCCTCATCCAACTCACTCCACGGGGAGAAGAAACCTTGGATTCCATTCGCATCTGGAAGAGAAGAGGGGAGCCCTGTTTGGGGAGGGAGGCAGAGTCAGGAGCCTCCTGGCCACCAGCCCCTCCCATGGCACTCCCTCCCCCTCACCAGCTCTGCACATCACCAGCAGCAGGAAGCCGAAGGCAAGGATGGCAGTGGCCACCATGATGCCCCCAGGATCCCTCAGCTCCAGCTACTACTCCCCTGACCTCGGGGGTCACTGGGGAGCCTTCCCTGTGGTAACCCGAGCAACTAGCCCCACCCGGGGCCCAAGAGTCTAGAATCCTATCGCTAGGGCGGCTCTCTCCATGACTACCAGTGTCCCTGAGGGTGGGGCTTCTGGGGGCTCAGGACCCCAACCCCATGTTATCTTTGGCTGCTGCCTTTCCTTCCCTGCAAGCTCCATGCCTCTGTGGGCTGTGCTCCGGGTCTGGCACATGCTATCTCCTGGCCTCGAAATCTCTGGATTGTTCTGAGCTCTGATCGAAGGCGGCCTTTCCTCGATGGACACTCCTAGGAGAGGAACGGCCTTGTATTTAGGGATCTGAGATCTCAGCTCAGCACTGGACAGAGGAGGAAACCTAAGAGAGAGAAGATAAGGGATTGATTAGCCCGGGGCAGGAGCCAGAGCCAGCAGTAAGTGTCAGAAATAGAATTCCAACTTGGTTCTCTTGACTGCAGGCCTCAGCAAGACTCCCAATAGAAAGGAAGTTCCCCGAGGGCAGATGCTGTTTAATTTCTGCCTTCAACTCCCCAGTGCCCAGCCCACTTTCTGCCTGTGATTGAGAAGCACTTGCTGACTGATTGGATTTGGAAAAGATTAGGGTGGGAGCACGTGAAGAGGAGATGGAGATGGGGTGCACAGCCTCAGAGGAGCAGGGTGGGGGGCCCTCTGGACCACTCTGCCTGGAGCCAGGCCCCCATGACTGGGGCTACCCCAATGAGCATGTGTGTGTATGTGTGCGTGCAAGTTTGTGATAAGTGTGTGTGTGCCTGTCTGTATGCACAGGTGTGTATGAAGAATGTATGTTTGTGTGTAATGAGTGTGTGTGATGAGTGTGCATATGTGTAGGAGAGTGTGTGTTCACATGTATTGTGTATGGGTGTGTGTGCATTGCGCATGTGTGCGTGATGAGTGTGTGCTCATGAGTGTATAATGAGAGTGTCACGATGAATGTGTGCATGTGTGTATGAGTGTTATGAGTGTGTGTGTGCATGTATGTAGGAGAGTGTGTGTATGACGAATGTGTTCATGTGCATGAGCACACACATGCGTGTGTGTGTGTGTGTGTGTGTGTGTGTGTGTGTGTAGGGAGCCAGTATCCCTTAGGGAAGGCTAGGGGCTCAGAATGCCTGCTCCTTCAGAGTCCAGAGACAAGGAACAGTGGCCCACAGGAGAGTGCAAGGCAATCGGGGTACCTAGTTTCATTGGAGAGTTGGCAGCTAGGTAAAAGGATCCCTGAGGGAAGAGAGGGCTCAGATAAAAGCATGCTGAGGAATTAGTGAGCTTGTTTCCCTGAGGGAAAAGCTCAGGACAGAGGTCTTTAAGGGGGAATGGAGGCTCAGGATGCCAGGGTCCCTGAGAGGGGAGGCTCAGGAAATACGGTGCAGATATCCTTGAGGGAGCAGAGGGCTGGGAACTCGGGATGCCTGGCTCCCTGAGGAAGGAAGGGACTTGGGAACAGAATACCTGGGTCTTTCAGGGAGTGGGGAGCTGGGACAACAGCATGCCGGGGGAATTGGGACTCCTGGGTTCCCAAAGGAGAAGAGGGTTAGAGCTTCAAGAGCCTTGGGATCTTTGAGGGGCTAGATAGACCGGCTGGCTTCGAGACACCCAGCTCCCTGAGAAGATGAGGAATCCAGAAAACACCTGGGCTTGTTCGGTGTAACTGGCAGTCACTGCTCACCCAGTAAACATGTGGGTTGAGGGGCCAGAATCTCCGTCAGAGATGACACAGGTCAGGTTGGAGGGGGTTGGGGGGGGTCATTGGTCAGGCTGGGAAAGAGCTGAGACCTAGCCTCAGCCGTGGCCGCTGGGCTTCCTGTGTCAACATCACTCTGGGCCAAGTTCCCATTCCTGGGATTCTTTTCAGATCAATGAGGGGGGTGGGGGGCTGGGGGCGGGCTCCCTGTGGGGCTGGGCCCTCCGTCACTGACCCACACCACTAATGACAGGCTGCAACTGCTTCTGTGGCTGCCGGCCCGTCACCCTCTCCCTGGCCCAGACGGCCCCCCGCAGCCTCGGCCGGGCAGACACCCCCCCCACGGGGCCGCCTGCTGAGCTGAGCTCACAGCCCACCCCACCTAGGGAGCCCCCCAGACCACCCCGCCGCCCAGCCCGCCTTCCTGTCTCCCTGGGTCTCCGTCTTTCTGTAGTTCCCTAGCTCTGCCCCTTTTCACTTCGCCTTTTTATCCTGTCTCTGTTTCTGCCTCCTGGGCTTTCTCCCTTTCTTTGACCCTCAGTGACTTTCTTGCCTGTCCCCTCACATCTTCCCGACACATTCCCCAAGAATGGTACCCATGTCACTCCCTCTCTATACCCTGGGCTACAAGTCAAGAGCCCTGGTATCCAGCCTCAGCTTTGTGACCTTATGCCAGCCCCTCACAGCCACCCTCTGTAAAGTGAGGACAACTGAGTGGATGATTTCTAAGGTCTTTGTGTTACAGGGCAGGCAACTTTCCTGCCCTCAGTTTTCCCTGCTGTAAAATGGTCCCATAAGATTCCTCGATATGTAAGCATCGAGTCTTAGACGTTCTCTGGTCCAGGATATCCCCTCCCTGTCCTTCAGTGAGTGGTGCCAAGTCTCAGATCACTGACCCGACCCTCCCCAGACCTTGGCAGCTTTCCCTTTCCAAGTCTCATGAATACTAAAGCCTCATGTTTGGCCCCTGAGAGGACAAGGCCTGTGATCCTAAAGTATTGGAGTTTAGAGTTTAGAAACCTAGGTCCCAAACAGCTAAGGATTCTGTTCTTCCCTTCCCCCCAGTTGGTGAATCCCCCAGCCCCTGGGCCTGAGTCACTTTGACTACTGACCTGGGGGTAGGGGAATGACATCTACATCAGAGCTGATGAAGCTTCTGGAGCCCCCACCCCCCCCCGCCTTAGTCACCCCCCCCCCGGAAACTGCCCCCTGAGGACTGGAGGCTGGTGGTCAGTTTCCTTTGTAGTTGAGAAGGTAGGGAGAACTTGATCACCTGACTATAAGATCATATCCCATGCTGGGGTGCCCTGACGTCAGCTTCCCCAGGACCTCTCACAAGGACACAGACCCCAGCACTCTTCCTCCCCCTCCCCCTTGCTCTCCCCGTCAGGGCTTAGGGAGGCCTGGGCAAGGGGGCACCCAAACAACTCTAGCCTCCCCAAAGCTTTCCGGCCCCCCCCCCAGTTGGGCAGTCAGACTCCCTTTCTCTTTCTCTCTGACTCTGTGTTGGCCTCGTCATCACCACTCCAATGCCTCTGTCTCTCCCTGGTTTCTCTAGGTCACTGAGTTTGGCTCAGTCAGACTTCCTGGCGGTGTGGTCCCTCTCTTTCCCAGTCTCCTCCAATGGATCTTTCTTGATGTCTGGGGTTCCGCTCATTCCCCATTCTGGGCCTTTACCTCTGCCAGCCTCACTTTGCTGTTTCTCAGTCCCTCGTTTCTTTCTCGGCCTCTCGTAATCTGTCTCGGAATTCCCAGGATCTCTCTCTCTCCATGTCTCTCAGCATCTCCATCTATGGCTCCCAGCTTCTCTCTTGCCCTGGATCTCAGTCTCTTCTGTCTGTGGCTGCTCCTGCAGTTCCTGTGCCTCTGCCTCATTCTCCCGCTTGGTCTCCCTGTCATCTCTCACTTTGCAGCTCTGCCTCCACACCTCCATCTCTGAGGGGTTTCTCTTTTGTTCTTTGTCTGCGTCCTGGTGTCTCTGAGTCTCTCCATCAGTCTCGTGTGTGTGTGTGTGTGTGTGTGTGTGTGTGTGTGTGTGTGTGTGTGTGTGTGTGTGTGTGTCTCAGGTGCAGCAGTCTGTCTGTCTCTGAACAGCTCTAGGTATAGCAAGGTCTTTCTTTCCACCTCCCTATCGGTTTCCAAACCTCTTCACCCACACCCCACCTCCGGCTCAGTGCCTTTCCGCCTCTGCGGGTCCCTCGCCCTCCTCGTGTCTCCGTCTCCACCCCATGTCTCTCCACCTGGCCTTGCTCCTTGCTCGTCTCTGTCTCTGCCAGTCCAGGGCATTTGTGCACCCTGGCCTCAGTGTGTTAGCCAACCTTTTCTTCTCTCTCTGTGAATTTCTCTTCAGTCTCTGAGCTCTGGGCTCTCACTCACTCCTTCTCCCACAATGGCCCATTGTCTCTGTGGCTCCCTCAGTGTCTCTCTATCTCTTTCCCTCCCATTCCCCATCCGCCTCAGTCTTCTTCGGTCTGCTCTCTCCAATGTTTCTGGGCAGCTCCCTCCCTCCCATTCCCAGCTCCATGTCTCTCCATGCCTCAATGTGTCTCTTCCCATCATCTTCTCCTCTAGTCTCCTCACTGTCTCTGGCTTGGTGGTGGGAGGGAGGGAATGATGATGAGCTCAGTGGGTCCCCTTTGGGCCCCCCATGTATCACAGCTCGGCCTCCCCCCTTCCTCCTCCTCCCCCCTGCTCCTGCTCTCCTGCTCAGGCCGGGCCGGGGCTGGGGCTGGGGCTGGGGAGAGTGAGTCAGGATGTGTCAGGCTCCCCTCCCTCCCCCCCTCCTTCCCTCCCCTCCCGAGCGGGCGGTGGCTAGGCCCTGGCCCCTGCCCCAGCCCCTACCCGGCTGAGCCTGGTCCCAGCCCCCTATATAACCCCCCGGCCTCACTCACATACTCCTTTACTCCCCAACTCTCTCTCTCTCCCTCTCTCACACTCCCTCTCTCTCACACACACACACTCTCTCTCCCTCTGTCTGTCTCTCTCTGTCTCTCTCTCTCTCACACACACACACACACACACACACACACACAGAGGCAATCTAATCCAACACGCTGCCACATGCCTCCCCCCACCTCGATCTGGCCTGCCTGACCCCAGGGTCCCCTGATACCAAAGTGAGGCTCACTGGGCTGACCTGGCCAGGGAGGGGTTAAGACCAAGATACCCCCTCCCCACCCGTCCCTGGGGACGGAGCCCGGAGCCCAAACCCCAGCCTGAGTGTGGGGATATGGACAGTAAGTTCCCTCGAGTTCATAGGGAGTGGGACAGAGGGAGGGAGAGAGGGAGGGACCCCAGGCAGAGGGTGGAAAGCACACAGAGAGGAAGAATCAAAGAGAAGGAGTCAGAAGGGTGGAGAGAGAGACAAGATAGAGGGAGATGAATGAACAAGATAGAAAAGTGAGGCTAGAGGGAGGGAAACAAGTACAGAAAGGTGAAAAAAAAGTGGGGAGCCAAATGGGGGCAGGCAAGGGAGAGGGGGAGAGGGAGACAGAAACTGAGAGGTGAAGGAAGAGGACAGAGACAGATGTAGGGAGGAAGGGAGACCCAGGAAGGAAAGTGGAAGATAGGGAGACACAGAGACAAGGGAAGGTGGAGAGAGGAAGAGGAACACAGGCAGTGAAACAGAGATATGGAGACCCTGACAGAGAGCAGAGCAAGGCCCAGAGATCAGAAGCCACAAGAGCTGGAGAAAAGGGGTCAGTCAGGGAGCAAAGACAGAGAGGGACAGAGAGAGAGACCCAAGGAGGCCCAGCCAGAAGGACCCAGAGATAGAGCAGAGAGAATCAGGGTGACAGGGAAAGGGGAGGAGATGGGAGGGGAAGGAGGCTGGGCTGTGGGGGAGCCTCTGATTGGCTACGTTGGGCATGAGGGGGTGGGGGTTCCCCCAGGGCTGAGCCTAGGGCTAGGGAATGGGATGGGGTGGGGGGGAAGAGTCCCAGTGTCTCAGTAGCTCTGTCTCTCTCACTCTCTAGGTGTCTCCCCAGTTCTGTCTCAGTAGCTCTGTCTCTTTATCTGTCCCTCACTTCTCTATTACCTTGGCTTGCACCGGGCTGTCTTTGCCGTATCTCTGGGTCTAGGCTCTCGGGCTTTGTCTCTGTCATTTGCATCTGTCTCGTATTCTGTATTAGTTTTATGTTTCTGTCCACTCCTCGCCTCTATCTCCCTCTCTTCTTCAGTCTCTCTATGTCCCCATGTCTCTGCGTTTCTGCCTCTCGCGTCTTTTTCTCCCAGTGTCTGTCTCCCCACGTTTCTGCACCTCTCCTACAGTGTATGGAGGCAGCTGAGTCCGCGCCTGGGGCTGTTGAGGGGGGCGGGCGCCGGGCCGCTGCCCCCGCAGTCTGTGTCTAGGGCCCGGGCCGGGGGTGGGTGGGACTCGGGCAGAGACAGAGACACAGAGAGACAGGGAGACAGGAATAATCAGAAACAGAGACAGACACCGGGAGATCTTGCCCCTGACTGGATCTCCCCGCTGGTCCTAGATTCCTGGGGGGCAAGGGGTGTGGGTGTCTGCGGATTTGGGGGAGCGGGGGCAGGTCGTGGCCTGCGCCTCCCCGCCACCCCCCCCACTCCCTTAGGGCCGGGATTCCGGCGTCCGGGGGCGGAGGGAGACGCCCGGCCCGTCTGCTTGCCCCGGGACGCGTCTGCTCTGCTGGGCGGAGCCCCTGCCTTCCAGGGAGGAGGGGAGGGAGCCTGATCCTAACCTCTACTGCACCACCTCCCCAGCTCCAAGGTCCCAGGAGTTCTGGTCCCCCTCTCCCGTTCTCTGCCTTCCCCCATCTCTCCCCGTGGCTGTTTCCTTTCCCCAGGTTTGTGTCGCGTAGTCCTGGCCGTGCTAAGTCTGTGGCCCAACCGAGCTGGGGCCTCAGCACCCCCGCTGCCGCCTGGGTCTCCTCGGGGCGCCCCTGTTCCGGGCCCAGGGGAGTCCCGAACTGAGCTGGACAGCGCCGTGCTCCTCACCCGGGGGCTGCTGCGAGACACCCGGCAGCTAGCTGCTCAGCTGGTGAGACCCCGCCCCCTTTCTCTTCTCTCCTCCCCTCCTCTCCTCTCCCCTTCTCTGCTAGCCTAGGGAAGAAAGCAGGAGGCCCCGAGACCCAGAGAGGTGGGGCGGGAGACACAGAGACACGCAGAGACCGAGAGGTGGGTCGGCAAACGCAGAAAGGAGAAAGGCGGAGAGAGCTAGACAGAGGGAAGAAGAGAGACAGATACACCGAGAAAGACGCAGAAGGGGGGGGGGGCGGGGCGGCGGGGAGGGAGGGAGGGGGAGAGAGAGAGAGAGACTGATTGTGTCAGAGGGTGGTATCCCAGGGACAGAGTTAGGCAGACAGAAACAGGTTACCAAGGAAACATTCAAGGACAGAGAAGCAAACGGAGGTGGCCAGAGAGAAACGGGAGGAGGATGGGAAGCTAGTGAGACACGCAGGTGGGTGAGGAGACGCTTAGGAACAGAGCTGGAGACCCAGAGATGGCTGCTTGGTTGGCAGAAGACAGAGACAAGTGGGGAGAGACTAAAAGTCAGGGAGAGACGAGTGGGGAGAGTGTGGAAGAGACATGACGGAAAGATGCTGGGGGTGGGGAGAGACTAAGAAATTCAGAGACAGGCAAACTGAAGCTAGGGGAGGGTAGAGAGAGTCAGATTACAGAGGGAGCCTTACAGATCGAGAAGGGGAGGTGGGGTGCCAGTGGGAGGCAGAGACATTCAGTGCTAGAAATTGAGAGGGCTATCCTGAATCACGAAGGAGGGAGAGGGTCCCGAAGGATCCCCTCCTCATTTTCTTCCTCCCCCCCCACCCAGAAAGCCAAGTTCCCAGCAGAGGGCGATCACAGCTTGGATTCCTTGCCAACCCCTGGGATGAGCTTTGGGGCAATGGGGGCCCTGCAGGTGAGTGGGCTTAAATGGGGGTTAGGGTGGTTGGGGCCAGGGTAAAAGTTGCTGACTGTGTGTCCCCCTCGGCAAGCTCCCCAGTGTGCTGACCCGCCTACGGACTGACCTCCTCTGCTACCTCTGGCATGTACATTGGCTCCGTCGAGCAGGGGGCCCAGCCCTTCGGAGCCTGGACTCAGAGCTGGGGGCTTTGCAAGTGCGGCTGGACCGACTGCTTAAGAGACTGCAGATCTTGGTAGGGCCCAGGGACCCCCATGCAGCCCCCTTGACACCTTGAGAGAGAGGGAGGCTCCGAGGACCCAGCTCACCCTCCCTCAGGCCCAAAGACTATGAACTCAAAGGATGTGAGGCTATGGTTTCCCCAGGGACCCTCATCCCAGGCCTCAGACCAAAAGCCCTACAACTGCAGTCAGGGACCTGAGATTACTGACCCTAGAGGCCCTTACCCCACAACCCACTGACCTACCCTGAGTTTCAGGAACGTGAACCCAAGGACCCGAGTCTTTTTGGCCTTTGAAAGAGTATGCCCTTGAATCTCTAACTCAGGCCTGGAGACCATAAACCCAGCGATGCCCATCTTGAGCCCCTAAACCATGGACCTCTGGATACCCAGTCTAGTCTTTGAGACTGTGGACCCCTAAGCCCTCAGTGACTCAGGGGTCTGAGACCTATGCCTGGGAAGTTGGGAGCCCCTAACTGAGGACATGAAGGCCCGAACCTAGAAGCCCCACCCCCCCAATCATTCTCCATCTTGAGACTGCAGACCCAGGCACTCTCATCCAAGTAAGGACCCAGTTACCTTTACCCCAGGAGGCTGAGAGTGGATCCAGGCATTCCTAACCCAGAACCTAGGAAATATGTTCTAGGGAACCCTCCAATCTCGAATTCTTGAGGCCAGGGCCCAAACAAAGCCCTGTCTGCTGGCTTGCTGACCTATGTCCATTCTTTTCCTCACAGATGGCACGTTTCTCCCTGCCTAAGCCTCCCCCGGAGGCCCCCGCTCCACCTCTGGCCCCACCAGGATCAGCCTGGGGAGGGATCCAGGCAGCCCACGCTGTGCTGGGGGGGTTACACCTCACCCTGGACTGGGCTGTGAGGGGCTTGCTGCTGCTGAAGGCTCGGCTCTGACCTCCCCCGAGGGGAGAGAAGTTTGGGCCCTGGTGAAGGGGCCTGGGCCTCCCTTAATACCCTTCTTTATTTATTTATTTATTGGGGGCTCAGAGAGTGGGGTCCCAAGGGAGCCTGAGGCTCTCAAGAGCTGGGCCTGTATGCTCTGGGCCCCCTCAGAGCAGTCCCCTCTTCCCTTTATGCCCCTTCCACATCCCAACTCTACAGGACCTTGGACAGCAATGCCCTCTATTTATAGCTATTTATTGGGGGGCTGCTTGGGTCCTTGAGGCAGGAAGAGACAGGCGCCCTCAGCAGGTTCCTGGGTGGGGGGCAGCTCCCACGTCCTGATGGCTGAGGAGGGGCAGCCTCCCCTCTCTGGTCTCCTGTTCCTCGCCCACCTCTAAGTTATTTAAATTATCACTTTTCTTTGGGCCCATGAACTGGCTTCTCCAACCAGCCCTGGCCCTAACTTTGGTACTTATTTATTGTAGCTATTTCTCCTTGTGTTTTGTACAAAAGAAATGTAAGAGATAAAGTCGGATCAATAAAAACTGGCATTCTCTCCAGCTTGAGGGATTGGGGTGGATGCTATCCATCAGCACCTTGGGTGGAGGGGGTGAAGCAGACTGGGGGAAGGGGTGAAGCAGACATGGGGGAAGGGGTGAAGCAGACATGGGGGAGAAGTGAAGCAGACTGGGGGAAGGGTGAAGCAGACTGGGGGAGGGGTGAAACAGTCTGGGGGAAGGGTGAAGCAGACTGGGGGAGGGGTGAAACAGTCTGGGGGAAGGGTGAAGCAGACTAGCGGAGGGGAAGCAGACATGAGAGCCACCTTCCCTGACGGCATTCTCCAAACCTGGCCTGAGTGCACCTCGGTGAATAGGCCAGAAGGACCCAGGTTAACAGCAATGGACAGCTTGAGAGAAGTGCTGAGTGGGCAAGAATGTGGGTGGAGGTGGGTCAGAGAGATTCCCTGACTTGCCTGGCAAGTGCTAGAGGTAAAATTTGAACAGATGTCTTTCCTGACTCCAAATCCAGCCCCTTTGCCCTGGTGATGACAATTGTTTGGGTAGGAGGATTGGGACCCCAGCAGGGCCTGATTACTGGGGTCAAGTACCAGGATCTCCAGGAGGGTGGGGAGGAAGGAGATCTTAGGCTACATCTGGGCACTGAGGAGCCAGGGCCTTGCCTATCCAGGCTACATCCAGAGGGCCTTTCCTGGGATTGAGGATTCTGGAAAAGAGGCTTCAGCCTCAGCCTGAGCCACCTAGCAGGGATGCTCGCCACAGGACCACAGACCTGCAGGGTTCCATGGGTGCTCAGGGCATCAGCTCTAATCTTCTCACTTTGGGGCTGAGGAAGGCAATTGGGGTGAAGTGACTTGCCCAGGGTCACACAGCTAGTAAGCGTCTGAGGCCAGATTTGAACTCAAATCCTCCTGACTCCAGGCCCAGCGCTTTAACCACTGCACCACCTAGCTGCCCCTAACCTTCTCAATGGGAAGCTGGAGGCAGCCTGAGGCCCACATTGAGTCAGGGCTTGAGCACAGGGCTTTCCAGATGTAGAGAGCCACCTTCTCCCACAGGAGACTTTCCAGCAGAAGACCCCTCTGAGAGGGAAACAGTATGCAGCCTGGGTCTTTGGAGGCCATTTTTAGGAGAGGCCATCATCTCTTGGAGGTTGCCCTGAAAAGGAGAGGAAGGACCTTGAGAAGGAGGCCCCTGGGGTCACTGGGACCACCCCAAGCCCCAGCTACATTAATCCCTTGCTCAAAAACCTCAGGTTCTCCCAGAGCCTTGGGCTCAGATTCTCAGCCTAGAACACTGACCGCTACGACCCAAGGCCAGATGTCCTCTCCCATTCCCACTCTGGCACCCCAGATAGAAAGGACAACAGTGCCCAGTATTGCTTCCTCCCTGTTCCCTCCAGCCTCCCTTTGTCCCACCCAACTCCAGGGCCAGCACAGGGCCCCTGTTGTATAACATACCTGACAGGTGGACACCCAGCTTCAGCCCCAAGATGTCCCATGAGTGGCCACCCAGAGACAGGAAGTTCTCCTGCTGTCAAGCCTAAACACCACTGTGGTCTTGGTTCTGCCTTCTGGGTTCTAGTCCCTCTCCAGAGTTCCAGCCCCTCCCCCAGCAGAGACGCTATACCCCTTTCCCCTCCCCTGTCCAGCCCCTCAGCCTCATCCTCTCCAGGCCAAACAGCTTTCTTTTGCTTACATCCTCCTTGACACCTCCCCCCCACCTTGGATGGAGCGAGGGGAATGCTATGTCTTACCCCGCTTAGGACTGGGGGCCCATAAAGTTCCTTGACCCTCCCGACCTGTGAGGTCACAAAGACAGATTCCCACATCTTAGCTCAGGTCCAGGTTCCAGAGAGATCCCAAGCTTGCTGGCCAGCTGGCCCGCCCAGAAGGCCATGGCCAGTCCTCCCCACCCACAGGGAGTATCGCCGCACTCCCTTCACAGATTCCCCAACTCTAGAGGCCCTGATCCCCCTTAAACACACCCAGACCACTGGCATTATGACGCTCCCGGTCTCCTCACCAGGTAGGTCCACGAGCTGGGGCACAAGGGGCTTGAGATGCCTGAGTCTCTGGTCACCTGGAGCTGGTTGTGGGGCAAGGGGTGCATGAGCTCTAGCCAGCCCCCACCTCTGCCCTGCTTCCTCCTGGATCTCAGCTATTCTGCGTGAAGGGCTGTTCCTGAATGATGTGGAGCACTCCTTTCAGCCGTGGGTCCCCCTGCTGGGCCATCTGCAGAGAACCGTGATGGAGGGAGAGTACCTTCCCCTGGGGCCGTTGCTGCCAATGTTTGAGAGCAACTTCCTGCAGGTGCCGCCTGGGAGAGGAGGGTGGGTGAGAGGACACCAGAGCATTGAAGGCACGGGTTTTCGGGGGACCTTCCCAAGGAGGCTCTTGGCAGGGGTGGGGAATGGGGTCCCTGAGGGGTGCTTCCCAGCCTCCCTGCCCCACCCTCTGTAGGTGACAAACCGGGGGGAGGCTATTTTTCTGCACAAGAAGGAGAACCCTGTGACGATGGGTGTGGCATCCTCCATCCCTGGGCTCCTGCTCCCAGACCTCATCCTGCTCGCCCGGCCAGTCAGAAACAGGAGGCAGAAGGCCCTGGAGCTCACCAGGTGAGCTACGAGGTCCCGTCCCTGACCCTCAGGCACCTGTGTATCTGCCTCCCTCACTCTATACTCCATGCAGGCTGCTGCCCACACACCTGGCCCGTTTGTTCGTCCACAACGGAGCTTGCTGGAGGCTGAAGCTCCGCTTGGCCTCAGGCCGCAGCTTTTACCTGCAGCTGGACGCCAACTGGAGGGAGGGCTGCTTGCTTTTCAACCGCTGGAGATACCTGGTGTACCTGCTCCAAGGGTCCGCACCAGCCCTCGCCCTCCAGGCCCCCAAGGACCACCCCAAGGTGAGGTGTGGAGAGAAGCCTGGGAGCCATAGTTCAGCTAAAGTGAGCTACTTTTCCCTTTCTCAGCCGTGCTCCCGCCCCACCCCAAGTCCCTGCTTGGTGAGGGGGTTAGAGCCCTGCATACTGGGGGCCCTGAAGTGCCTGGATCCCTTAGAGAGGTGAAGGAGGCTGGGAAAGCCACATAGCCTGTTCCCCTCCAGAAGGGGAGGCTGAGGAGTCCGACTCTTGGGTCCCTGAGGGAGGAGGTACCGGGGGATCCGTTTGCCTTGGTGGCCTCTCCTCCGCAATCTCTGCTCTTCATTCTCCCCCAGGACAAGAGCCAGAGGAGGTCCCCTGCCGGTGAGAGAATCCTCTGCCTGCCTTTTGCTCTGTTTCTCCATGCTCCACCAGTCTCTGTCTCTGACCTTCTCTGTTCTTGTCTCTCTTGGTCTCTGAGCCTGCTGCCTGTATCTCCACAGACTCCACAACACTGAAGGCCAAGGTAGCGGGCCAGGGGCCTGGGCTGGGCCTGGGACAGAGCAGTGCCTTGTCCTGGGCCCTCCTCTGACTGGACAGCTTCCTCCACTTCCTGCAGGAGAAGATGTCGAGGGCAGTCAATGGCACCAGTCCCTTCATGACCCAGCCGGAGCCCCCAGCCTGGAAACGAAAGGAGAAAAAGTGGGCCATGACCCAAGAGTGCCCCAGGGAATAGGGAACGGGGTGGGATTCTCCAAGGTGGGGTTCCCTGGAAGGGCTGGGCAAGAAGGCCATAGATTTGGAGTAAAGACGCTGGGTCCCCGAGGGTAGAGCCAACAGCTGGGTTCTAGGATGCCTGGGCCCTTGAGAAGGTGGGACACTGGAGTTCTATAGAACTGCTTCCGTAGACCAGACCACAGACATGCCAAGATGGATCCTCCTGGGACCCGAGTGCAAGAAGGTAAGGGATTGGCCTGGATTCCCAGCTCTCTGGCCCTCCCGGGGCTTTCAGGAGCCCTGAGCTACTCCTGCTTCCCTCGCTCAGGGCGGTCAACAGTCACCATCTGGACCCTCTTCAGCACCATCTCCAGCATCCTGAACCAGCCCAAGGTATTGGGAGGCCCTCGGGCTAGCAGCCAGGAGGCCAGAGTCTTTAGGGCTGGGAGGGGGTCAGCAGCTCAGAACACCAGGTCCCTGAGGGACCTCCACCCTCTGGTCTCCCCAGGCCTCCGAAACATCCACCCCAAAGACTTCAAGCTCATGGCCCTCCAGAATTAGACCTCCTGTGGTCCCCCACCAGACCTCATCTTCTTGGCTGGGCTCCCGCCGACAGTCCGAGAAAATATCTCACACGTCAGCCTCTTCCAGCACACGCCTGTTGGGCTCCCAGTCCCAAACAGGTTTTACCCCGACGTGGAAAAACATCCATCCGTGTCTACGCACCTGCTTCAAAAGTCCAAAAATCTTCTCTGATGCCCTGGCCTGGGCCAACCCCCTCAGCTACGCCCCGGCCCAGCTCCAGCCCCAACACACCCAGCACGAGGTCCCACTCAAGACTGCCCGACCTGATAAGTCCCTAAGGAAAGATGCTTCCAAGTACGTAATGATCTTCCCGTCACTGGAGGTATTCAAAGGGAGACCCAGAATAGGGGGCTTGTTGAGGCCCCATTCAGCTCCTGGAATAGGTGGTGGGTCCTTGAGAAAAGAGAAGCTTCAATAGTGATCTCCCCATCATTGGAGGTATCCAAAGGCAATTTGGACTCGGGGATCTCAAAGACCCTTTCCAGTTTTGAGATTCCATGATTCGAGGTCATTCAGAAGAGACCCCCCCACCCCCGCCCTGAGAACAGGAGGCAAGCAGTATGTTTCTTGGAGGTATTCCAGTAATGAGAAGTGACGTTTATGGTCTTATGGATCCAGGTTGAGCTTAGAGCAGGCCGTGGTCCTCACAGAGCCTAAGGAAGCAGCAGAGTTACCCCACGTTTGTTTCAAGCAGCAAGAGGACAGCTCCTTGTCCTCAGCAAAGCAGTCCCATCCCAAGTCCACACCTTACCAGCTACAGCCCTATGAGTCCACCCAAATGTCTGACCTTTCCACCAAGGCCTCACTCTATCCACCCCCTGAGGCCTCATCTGACCATTTCATCAAGGCCTCAGAGCCCTCTCCCACCCCCAAGGCTCCAGAACCCTCCCCCTTCCTCATAGCTCTAGAGCCCTCCCCCTCCCCGAAGGCTCCAGAACCATCCTCCCTGCCCAAGGCTCCAAAGTCCTCCCCCTTCCCCATGGCTCCAGAGCCCTCCATCTCCCCCAAGGCACCAGAGCCTTCCCCCTTCCCCGAGGTTCCAGAACCCTCCCTGCTCTCCAAGGCTGCAGAGCTCTCTACCTCTTCCAAGGTGCCAGGGCCTTCTCCCTCCCCTAAGGCTCCAGAACCTTCCCCCTCCCCCAGGGATCCAGGACTCTCCCCCTTCCTCAAGGAACCAGAGTCCTCCACCATCCTAAAGGCTCCAGAGCGCTCTGGACCCACTAAAGCCACACCTGAACAGCCAGACAAAGCCTCACCTAAAGGCTTCATGAAATGGCTATTTTACCCATTTTACCCATTTATCAAAGCCTCCTCCAAACACCCTAAAAAATCCTCATTCCATCCAACTACCAAGGCCTCACCTCACCGTGTCATCAAGGCCCCACAGCCCTCCCCCTCTCCCAAGGCCCCACAGCCCTCCCCCTCTCCCAAGGCTCCAGAGCCCTCCCCCTCCCCCAAGGCTCCAGAACCCTCCCTCTCCCCCAAGGCTCCAGAGCCTTCACCCTCTCCCAAGGCTCCAGAACCCTCCCCCTCTCCCAAGGCTCCAGAACCCTCCCTCTCCCCCAAGGCTCCAGAGCCTTCCCCCTTTCCCAAGGCTCTAAGGCCCTCCCCTTCTCCCAAGGCTTCAGAACTCTCCCCCTTCCCCAAGGCTCTAAGGCCCTCCCCCTCCCCCAAGGCCCCAGAACCTTCCACCTCTCCCAAGGCTCCAGAACCCTCCCACTTCCCCAAGGCTCCAAGGCCCTCCCCCTTCCCCAAGGCTCTAAGGCCCTCCCCCTCTCCCAAGGGCCCAGAACCCTCCCCTTCTCCCAAGGCCCCAGAACTCTCCCCCTTCCCCAAGGCTCTAAGGCCCTCCCCCTTCCCCAAGGCCCCAGAACCTTCCACCTCTCCCAAGGCTCCAGAACTTTCCCCCTTCCCCAAGGCTCCAAAGCCTTCTGGCCTCACTAAGGCCACACCTGAACAGTCAGCTAAAGCCTTACCCAAACACTCCAAGAAATCCTCATTCCATCCAACTACCAAGGCCTCATCTCACCAGTCTACCAAGGACTTAGCAGCACACCCTATTAAGGCCTCAGCCGACAAGGATGTCAAGTCCACAGACACTTCACTCTCCAGTTACTACTCAAAGAAGACCTCACTCTCCTGGTCCCCCAGAGCCTTACCCAAACACTCCAAGAAATCCTCATTCCATTCAACTACCAAGGCCTCACCTCACCATTTCATCAAGGCCCCAGTACCCTCCCCCTTCCCCAAGGGCCCACAACCCTCCCCCTCTCCCAAGGCTCCAGAACCTTCCCCCTCTCCTAAGGCTCCAGAACCCTCCCCCTTTCCCAAGGCTCCAGAACCTTCCCTCTTCCCCAAGGGCCCAGGGCCCTCCCCCAAGGCTCCAAAGCCCTACCCCTACCCCAAGGGCCCAGAGCCTTCCCCCTCCCCCAAGGCTCCAGAACCCTCCCTCTCCCCCAAGGCTCCAGAACCCCCTTACTTCCCCAAGGGCCCAGAGCCTTCCCCCTCCCCCAAGGCTCCAGAACCCTCTGGACCCACTAAGGCCACACCTGAACAGTCAGCCAAAGCCTCACCTAAAGGCTTCAAGAAGTGGGTGTTTTACCCATTTACCAAAGCCTCCTCCAAACGATCCAAGAAATCCTCATTCCATCCAACTACCAAGGCCTCACCTGACCATTTCATCAAGACCCCAGAGCCCGAGCCCTCTCCCAAGGCCTCAGAGCCCTCCCCCTCCCCCAAGGCTCCAGAACCCTCCCTCTCCCCCAAGGCTCCAGAACCCTCCCTCTCCCCCAAGGCTCCAGAGCCTTCCCCCTCTCCCAAGGCTCCAGAACCCTCCCGCTCTCCCAAGTCTCCAGAACCCTCCCCCTTCCCCAAGGCCCCAAGGCCCTCCCCCTTCCCCAAGGCTCTAAGGCCCTCCCCCTCTCCCAAGGGCCCAGAACCCTCCTCCTCTCCCAAGGCTTCAGAACTCTCCCACTTCCCCAAGGCTCCAGAACCCTCCCCCTTCCCCAAGGCCCCAGAGCCCTCCCCCTTCCCCAAGGCCCCAGAGACCTCCCCCTTCCCCAAGGCTCCAAAGCCTTCTGGCCTCACTAAGGCCACACCTGAACAGTCAGCTAAAGCCTTACCCAAACACTCCAAGAAATCCTCATTCCATCCAACTACCAAGGCCTCATCTCACCATTTCATCAAGGCCCCAGTACCCTCCCCCTTCCCCAAGGGCCCAGAACGCTCCTCCTCTCCCAAGGCTCCAGAACCTTCCCTCTTCCCCAAGGGCCCAGGGCCCTCCACCTTCCTAAAGGCTCCAGAGCCCTCTGGCCCCACTAAGGCCACACCTGAACAGTCAGACAAAGCCTCACTCAAACACTCCAAGAAATCCTCATTCCATCCAACTACCAAGGCCTCATCTCACCAGTCTACCAAGGACTTAGCAGCACACCCTATTAAGGCCTCAGCCGACCAGGATGTCAAGTCCACAGACACTTCACTCTCCAGTTCCTCCCTTGGGTCCGCTGTTGTCTCACTCATGCTGTCCACTCCATACTCCAGCAGTCACTCATAGGAGGCCTCTGATCAGTCCAAGAAGACCTCAGAAGCCCCATCCTACAAAGCCTTCCCCAGAGCCTTGTCCTAACCATCCTGCAGAACTTCACCCCATCAGTGCAGAACAGATTCATCCTACCCATCCACAAAGGCCTCATGAATCCTGGCCAGTCCAATGTGCCAGAAGAGATTCTCTCTCCTGTACTGGAAAGCTCTCCATCCACAGACTCTAGGACTCACCCAGTGGACATTCTTCATCAGATTCCAGCATCCAGGTAAGAAAGTCCAAAGTTCCAAGCCTTCTATCCCTTGCTTCCTCAAGGTCCTGAGTATCCCACCCCCAAATTCCTCCTTGAGATCTAGGCATCCCTTCCCTTCAGTCCTCACTTGTCTCTGACAGAGCATCATCTCTCCCCAAATCCCAACCTCCCCCAGAGAACAGGGCATCCTTGTTCCTAATCCCATCCTCTTTAAGAACTCAATGACCTAACTGCAGCTCTCCTCTTCTTCTCAATGCCTCCAGTCTACCTGAGCTCACACCCAGGACCCACAACCTCTGTCAAAGACTCCATAGTAGGATCCTGAGTTAAGGTGATGAGTGCCATAATCATGGACCCAGGAGTCTCAGTTTCCATCTTCTTCACCCCCTCAGACTCAGATACTCCGTTTTTAAATCCCCTTTCCTCCCTCCTCCATCCAGCCCTGTTCTCCCTGAAGGCTTTAGGCGACCCGATCCCTTCACTCTCACCTTTCTCTCTATGTAGGTTCCTTGGTGTTGGGGAGATGCCTCTTCTCCCCCTACCCCACTGGAAGAAGAGATCCACAAATGCCTGAAATGTATTTGGGACTAGTAAGGGGCTTATGACCCCCAGATCCTATTAAAAGTCTGTGAATGAGAGCAAATTGTACATCCATGTGCATCTCTATATCCCCCAACTCCTACCCAAGTATGTGCATGTCTTTGTGTGTGTGTGTGTGTGTGTGTGTGTGTGTGTGTGTGTGTATGTAAAGCTACATTTCCCATAAACACCAGGGGCAGCTATACCTTGGTCAGGCCTTGACTGGGCCTAGGCCATGTGGAATAGCAGTAAGAACTGTGAAAAATGATTATTTCTGTCTTGTATTAATAACTAATTATTGAATCAGAACCAAGGTTTTCCCACTTTTCTACTTCCTCAACCAGAAATCAACATGTAGGAAATGTTAGGCAGAGATTTACCCAGGCCAAGATCTACTCAGACAGTAAAAAAAATTCTCAGTTTAGGCTAACAGGTGTATTCCTGTTCATTGTGTTTACTCAGATCTGGGAAAATGTGGGTCCTCCCTTTTGTCAGACAGATGATATGGAAATAGATAAGTCTCTTTGACAAAGATTTGGGTGACCCAAGTCAAGTACTCTTGGACCCTTATTGGAATATAGCCCACCCTCTTATTGTAATATTCATTTTCTCATTAATTGTTAACCAATCTGAGTTGATTGCCACCCTTAGGAACACCTGCTCTTCCAGGGTGAGTCCACTGCCATGAGAGGTCTTTGGACTAAGAAAGAGAGCCAAAAGATCATCCTTTTATTAATAAATGTGTTGACTTTATTAATAAAATGATTAAATTATCCAGAAACTATGTCTTTTGAACTTTTTTAAACATTACAGAATGGTGGACCTATAGTCTAGAGGCTTGGATTCAGGACCTGCATGTTAATGATTTAAACCTAAAGGCTGCTATTATAAGCAGATTAGGGGAGCACAAAATTTTTTACCTGTCAGATCTATGGATAAAAAAAGAATTTATGACCAAACCAGATACATAAAGCATTATGGGATGTAAAATGGATAGTTTTGATTAAATTTAAAAATTTTTGCACAAACAAAACCAGTGCAGCCAAGATTAAAAGGAAAGCAGGAAACTGTAAAAAACAATTTATGATGTTTCTCTGATAATGGTCTCGTTTCTCAAATAGATAGAGAACTGAGTCAAATTCACAAGAATATGAGTCATTCCCCAACTGATAAATTGGCCAAAGGATATGCACAGCGACAGCTTTCAGAAGAAAAAATCAAAACTATCTACAGACATATAAAAAATGCTTCAAATCACTACTGCTTAGAGAAAGGCAAATTAAAGCAACTCTGTGGTACCATCTCAGGACGATCAGAAATTACCAATGCTGGAGGGGACGAGGGAAAAATAGGCACACTAGTGAAATGCTGATGGAGTGGTGAACTGGTCCAACCATTCTGGAGAATTATTTGGAACTATGCCAACAGGCTATATAAACCCTAACCCTAACCCTAACTCTTTGACCCCGCAATATAACTTCTGGGTCTACATCCCAAAGAGATCAAAGAAAAAGGAAAAGGACCCACGTGTACAAAAATATTTATAGTATTTCTTTTTGTGGTGGAAAAAAAAAATTGGAAACCAAGGGAATGACCATCGATTGGGAAATGGACAAACAAATGGTGGTATGGTTGGTTTGTTGTCCTTCATACTCAAAGAGGACCAAAATAATATCACTACATCAGGGTCGAGGTATAGTGTGTCCTACTGTTGCTGATTAGACCAATATCAGCTTGGAAGGCTCTCCCACAGGCCGGGCATAAATGGTCCATATGAACGTTTGGAGTGGAAATGTCTTTAAATTGGTGCATCTCACATTTCTTTTGAGCAACTGCAGTTCTGCTTTGCTTGTAGAGCACAGGGCCTTCTTTGTCCAGGTTTCCTAGGCTTATAACAATGAGGTCAACACAACAGCTCTGTAGACCTTCGGTTTGGTAGGCAGTCTAATATCTCTTCTGTCCTATGCCTTCCTTTGGAGCCTCCCAAACATTGAGCCAGCTCTGGCAATGTGTGCATCAACCTCATCGTCTATATGTACATCCCTGGAAAGTACACTGCCAAGCGAACTTATCCACAGTATTCAAAATTTCTCCATTTGCTATAACTGATGGTTCTATCTATGTAGGAATGGTACAGTGCTGGCTGGTAGAGAACCTCTGTTTTCTTAGTGGCAATTATCAGGCCAAAATTAGCAAAAGCAGCAGAGAATTGATCCATACTCTATTGCATCTCAGCCTCAGAGGTTACATTGAGAGCACGATCACACATGAACAAAAAAAATCATGTACCAACTCTTCTTCTACTTTAGTCTCAGCTCATAGCCTTTTCAAGCTGAAGAACTTACCATCTGTGCTGTAGATGACTTTGATGCTATGTTCATCCTCATTGAAGGTATCTGATAACATTGCTAAAACATCACGCTAAAAAGCATGGAAGCAAGCACACAGTCTTGCTTCACTCCATTGGTGACTGGAAAAGGGAGGGAGCAGTGGCCATCATCCAGAACCCGGGCAAGCATGTTGTCATGAAATTGATGTACAATACTGATGAACTTCTGCAGGTAACCAAAGTTTGCTATGATTTTCCACAAGGCCTCATGACTGATGGTATCAAAGGCCTTGGTCAGATCTACAAATATTGTATACAGACCTCTGTTCTGCTCCTGGCTTTTCTCCTGGAGTTGTCGGGCAGAAAACACCACATTAACCATTCCTCGGCCCTTTCTGAAGCCACACTGGCTCTCAAGTACATGACCTCTTCCAAGTGAAGGATAAGCCCATTAAGGAGGCCTCTGGCAAGAATCTTGGCCTGCAATAACCAAGAGAGAGACCCCTATTGTGATTGTCATGGAATAATCTATTTCCTTTACCTTTATAGAGATGGACAATGGAGGCATCCTTGAACTCCTCTTGCCATATGACCTGGAAAATTTCACCTTTTGTATGAGCGGTGGACCCTCTACCTTGTAAGTCTCAGCTGGAACGGAATCAGGTCCAAGTGCTTTGCCACATGGGAGGAGCCTAAGAGCATTCCAAACCTCTTCTTCAGTTGGAAGTTCAGCTAGAGAAGAATTGACTTCGACCTGAGGTCAATGGTCAGTGGCTTCAGCATCGATTGATGATGGTCTGTTGAGGACACTATGAAAGTGTTCAGCCCGTCTCTCCAGGATCATGTCCTTATCACTAATCAATGTGGCTCCATCAGGGGGCAGCTAAGTGGCACAGTGCATAGAGCACCAGCCCTGAAGTCAGGAGGACCTGAGTTCAAATCCAGCCTTAGACCAAACACTTGACACTTACTAGCTGTGTGACCCTGGGCAAGTCACTTAACCCCAATTGCCTGAAAAATAAAATTAAAAAAAAAAAGTGGCTCCAGCAGCACTGAGTAGTTGAGAGGTACTTTAGGCCTTTAGCCCATAAATAACCT